ATTTCACTTGCAGCTACAACTAGCTGTGTTTTTTTTACTTTGATCGGCACTGGATAGTCACCGGGCCATGCAGACCCAATATTTTTCTTTGTTGGGTCTAGCCATTCGGTATTTCAGCTCACTGACTCGACTAGTTTGGGTTGTGTTGATGGTCTGTATAAAGGGGGAACCACTCATTCCCACAGTTCCAACCCAAAACTTTTGGTTTGGGGGGACTATTCATCCTTCCACACCTCTTGATTGTCGTGCAAATTATGAGTTATACAAACAAAGAATGTTTGCACATCATCAAGAAATTAAAAAAAGTGCTTCTTCACCCTTAACCAAGAGGTTTCAGGTTTGAGTCCCCTTCGGTATATAGTCGCCTTTGTTAGGGAGCGCTTTACCCATAATGTGGGACTTTTGGATGCAAATTTGGATTAGTTGGGCTCTAATGTGGGTATCGGATGTCGGGTAAAAGCGGACTACGACAATAGGTTACTCCCTATAATAGATACGCTTATTGGTAATATAAAAAAGAGTATACGACTTCGATAACAAGTTGAAAAGGACGAGCTTAAACGGGTAAGGAGGCAAGAATCATACTTCCAGAGATCCAACCCAATCCACATCTTATCTGAACTGCGAAAAATAACTGGGCGTAAATGTATATAAATTAAATAAGTTCTGTTCAACGTCCTTTGCTAATATATATAAAAATATTTATATATGCCTTCAATGGTGGCTTGAGACAGTTCTTGTTCAATCAGAAACTTACATATTTATATTTATACAGAACTCCCAAAAAGTATAAAGACTGGTATTTATATCCAGTAACAACATGTCACTACTAACCTAGCTATGAGAATTTTTTTCAAAAGTTCTTTCAAGCATTCTAATTGTGAAAAAAATACATATTGGATTAGAAAGGGGAAAAGACAAAGTTATCTACACTCGGTGTTTACAACAATTGAACCAATATATAACATATGTCTTCAACATACGCGTTATTCACTTAACCATGGTTAGTCAACACGTATTTTACCTCATTTTATCATGAGAAATATGTTCGTAAACATCGAGTGTGAGTAAGTTTTTGCCGTAACATCAAGGCTATCAGCTCCTGCTGGTCTAAAAACCAGAATTTTACTATGCTTGAGACTCTGGTCCTGCTGGTTTTGAGTTGAGAAGTGGTTGCAGTGCTTTGACAACAATTGTCATATTAGGTCGAAAATCGGCCTCGTATTGAACACAAAGTGCTGCAACAGCTGCCAACTGAGAAAACATTACAGCAACAACTACGCCTCAGTCCCAAACATTACATAAAAATAGGCAAGATTCACAAAAGTAGAAGAATTGTTTTGAGTAAAGTACCTTAGCAATTGCTTTTGGAGGATAGTCATTATTTAGCTTAGGATCAACACATTGCTTCACTTTGTCTTCACTCAATCTTGGAGTTGCCTGAAGAGAATTTCGAGTATGAATCAGCAGACTGGTGATATACGACTACTACATCTCAGTCCCAAACAAGTTTGGATCGTTTGTATGAATCATTATACAATAACAATATTTGTATTGTGAGGATTCATCATGAATTGACAAGTTTTACGTTGGTTGTCAGCCTACCTGAATCCTCCTTACTTGGGACCGACAACGAGAGCAAGCTCACACAGGTGGATTGGTGGTATATATAAATACTACAAAAGAAAGAAGTATAGGATAAGAAGCTACCCAAGTGACAAGACTCTGTTGCCCTTTAGGCATTGTATGATCTACTGGTTTCCTTCCTGTCAACAGTTCTAAGAGCACAACGCCAAAACTATAAACGTCACTTTTCTGAGTAATCTGTCCTGTCATTGCATACCTACACAAAAACGTGATACCTTTGTTTAACATAAAATAAACTACCCATTTCGGAAACTTGTCTAATTACTTGATGCATCAACGTTATTCGTTGTTTCTCCTAACATAACAGGATTGCTCAGTCCGATTTGTGGTGCAAACAGAACAGCTTGTAGCTACTGATCGTTTCTGTTTTATCGTTGTTTTGTGAAAACTGCGTAAAGCAATAGGCTATCTAGAGAAACTACATGTTCTGCTGTTATAAGCAGGGCTTACTCTGGTGCATGGTAGCCAAAAGTCCCCAAAACTCTAGTGGAATGTAGACGCGCAGCAGTGTCAGAAGACTGGTTCGAGATGTTGAAATCAGCAACTTTGGCTGTAAAATCATCAAAGAGCAATGCATTGCTTGATCTGACATCGCGATGAACTACAGGTGGCTGAATCTTTTCGTGTAGATACTCTAGTCCTTTTGCTGCACCATAAGCAATTTTAACTCTTTGATTCCAGGTAAGAACTGGACCTGGCTCAGCACCTTGTACACCTTTTCTACCTGCAACAATAGAACAACTACACCTCAGTTCCAAATAAGTCGGGGTTCCACAATCAACTAAACGCTACAACAAACAGAAGGATTCGCGCAACAACTATCAGTATTATACAGAATCTTTGACATACCATGTAAAACATCGTGTAAAGATCCCATTGTCGCGAACTCATATACCAATATACAATTGTTCCCTTCGAGACAATAGCCAATCAGAGTCATAAAATGCTCATTTTTAAGCCTTGAAACCATTGATAACTGAAATAAGTTGAAACATTTCAAGTATAAGTGTACTTTTCATCATACTGAAAAGGAAAAAAAGGGGCATTGATTCATTAACCTGAGCTGCAAAATCAGAATCTGGTTCTGGTGAAGCACTAGTATCCAACTTCTTGATTGCTACTTGCTGTCCATTGCTTAGTTTAGCGCAAAAAACGCGGCCATAAGATCCCTCTCCAACCAAAGCTTTCTGACCAAAATTTCCTGTCAATCTGTTTAGTTCATCCAAGGTGAAAACTGGTGCCTCAATTGGTAATACTTTCTGAGGAGTTCCACCTCTTGCAGCACTCCTTGGCTCTCCTCTATCACTTGCTACAATACAAACAAGCCGTTATCTGCTATGTGAATCTTCATTGATCATGCTTGTAATACAAAAGTACTAGAACTTCTCTATTTTCTTTTATCGCCATATAAATCTCTGACATGACTAAACGACTCCTAGAACGTAGAACAACTAGTTCTTCTATGCAGGTCTTTAAAGAAAACTTCGTCTTAGTTCTATCACATTCCAAAACACGACTTATGGAGATAAACAACTATTAGTTGAGTGACTACCTGACTGAAACATATTCCTAACTAGTTGGTACGGCCTATATAGATTCTATGTATCTAATAATTGTGTCCAAGAGTATACATCATCGTCCCCTTTAAACACCTTCAATCAACATCGTTTCGTACCTAAGAGTCAATCCATTTAGAGGTCGATACAAAACATACAAATGAAAATTACACCGAATTAAAAAACCGAAAAAAGATAAAATAATATGATCATTACCACCACCAGTACCACCACCATATGGATTGCCAGCTCTAGGAGGAGCTGTGTTCTGATTGGACGGCGGACCGCCGCTATAAACGTCTTCTTCTCCACCTCCACAGCAAGACATTTTTGTTCAATCAAAGCTACAAATATTCCTTTTTTTTAAAAAAAATTAATCCAATGCCTCCCAGGAGAAATTTACATGCTGCATTATCAGTATTCCTAGGAAATTTAAAAAAAAAAAAACAATTATTAGAAAAAATAAATAAATTCCAAAAAAAAAAAACATCAAGACATATCACAGATTAATTCAATATTTAAATATATGAACAGGAATGTCTAGTATATAACACGGAAATCATACCATAGAAAAAATGTACCTCAAAAATATTTTCTGATGTTTGATTGATAAATGAAATTTAACATATACAATATTCCCAAATTGGAAGTGTTTTTTTTGATGAATTAATAATATAATGTTCGAGTATTAGTTAATTATAAGATGTTTAATAGTCTAGATAGTTATGCTCCGTCAACCAAACACCAGAAAATGACATTCATCATACCAAATAAACATGAAATGGAAAAATCACTACTATGATATTAAACAATTCAAATATGATCTTCCAATAATTTTCAACATATTTCATTTTTCGATTTCATGAACATTATGAAAAGAATCGATGAATCGAAGAAATTAATATTACGTACCAATTTTATTTTATTTTTAAAATTAGGAAATGAATGAATCTGGAAGAAGAAATCACAACAAAGAAGAAAGAAGAGATTTCATGGTAGAATAATTTCAGCCATTTCTCTTTCTTTCTTGTTATTCTTCTTTTTTTTCTTTCTTCTGTCCCAAAAAAATTGATGAAATTTTTGAGCAAATAATTTTTTTCCCTTTCTGTTTAACGAGAAAATCGCATGAAAATACTCTATTTAACCACTTTATATATATATATGTTTCTGTATAAAATACAATATGGAGAATAATTCTTCTAAAATGTCACCATATTATTTTTTAAAAATTGTTTGCCTTAACTTTTTAAAAAGGAAACAAGTCATCTAGATCTCCTCTATGGAAAACATATTATATATTATAGAAGATATAAGAGATTATAATAATATTTTGGTTCCCCAATTGTAAGTAAATTCTAATTTTGGTTCATGTGATATATGACTAGTATATGTAATCTTCAATTAATTATATTGTATATGTTACGTTTGGTCTTTATGCTTGTGAATTTTTAAAACTTTAATGAATTACTAACTATTAAATTATTTTATTGCTCATATGTTAAAATTAAAATTTATCATTAACTTAATAGTCAAAAGTGTTTATTATCTCAAGAATCAAGCTATATAACAATAATCCAAGAAGGAAACAAGCCAAATTTTGCTCTATGGAAAGTAAATTATATCTAACAAAAAATTAAATACAGAAATTTTAAATCATATAACAATATAGATAGTAACATTTTGATTCTTTTAGAAATTTCACCATATTAAATTTTATACACTACTTTCCAAAAAAATTTAAGAATTTTGCATTATAAATAGCCTCTTTCACCTTACAACAAAGTGCACTACAAACATTTGAGATCAACTTCAAATATTCAATAAGAATGGCTAAGGTTTTAAACTCAATTCTTTGCTTCTTTCTTATTCTCTCAGGTTTGCCCATTTCTTTCTTTTTTTAATTCTTTATTTACTATCTTGTTTGTGATAAAAGAAAGAGCTTAAGTTATATACATCGTAATTGTAAAAAAAAAGTTACACAACTAAGCCACCTTTACATGTTCTAGCCAGAGGGGAAGCCAATTTTTTTTAATTTATGGGTTTTGAAGCGTAATCTTTTTGAGTTTTGTCGAATCAGAAGCTAAAGTGGTAGCTCCGCTTCTGACTGTAGCAGAAGTACATGCACTCATTTCAAGGGGTGCAACACTTCTCAGTTTGGGCCTCATATTTCTCCTATATACCATGTTCATATGGAGTTGTATTCCCTACGGTATGCAGTTATCTTCTCTGGCTTGACAGTAGTCAAGGGAAAATCACTTGAGCTTTTTCGCAGTTGCTCCTTCTTTCCGCAGGTTTTTGGAATTCGACATCAGGAAGTGTTTTCACACCATCGACCGACATCGACTCATCCCAATATTTAAGGAAGAGATCGACGATCCCAAGTTCTTTTACTCCATTCATAAAGTCTTTTCTGCCTCTAGATCCCCAAGTCTCCATGGTCGTTCTTTTTAACATCTCTTTCTATTCTTCTAATGTAATAATCTGTCTTATTTTCAAGATTACATATCCAAATTTTAAAGAAGTTTATCTATAGATATCCTTTGAATTAGTTGATAACGTAAAAATTATTTACACTGACGATGTATGATTCAAGATCTAAAAGAGAATTATTATAATTCTTGTTTTATTGATATATAAAGTGTTATTTGTTTAATTTTGGTGCAGTTTTGGCAATTACTGAAGTAAAGGCCAAAAAAGAGATGCACTGCAATATTGGATCCAACAGGATGTGTACTTGTTGATTGTCAAAAACAATGTTTAGAGAAATACAAGTATAAATTATTGGAACCATTATAAGTATTAAATAACATCCTATCCCTTCTAGTTTTCTATTTACCAAAAATCCCTTAAAATGATGTTTGCGGGATACATAACGTTGTGCACCGGATATATTAGGTTTGATACATTCCACATAGCGGGAAACATAGCGTTGTGCATGGAATACATTAGGTTTGATACATTCCACATAGCGGGATACATAATGTTGTGCACGGGATACATAGCGTTTGATACATTCCACATAGCGGGATACATAACGTTGTGCACGGGATACATAGGTAAAATAAGGGATTTTTGAAATTTTTGAAATAAGTAGGGATAAATGGATATTAAGGTAAGTAAAGGAGTGTAGTTAAGTAATTTGTCCGAAATACAATGGAAATGGGCTTTGCACTGGTGGAGTCACTGGCCCAATGAATTGTGTTTGTGTTTTCAATTGTAGCTCCTATTAATGTACCTTTGATTAAACACAAAATATTGGTCTATTTATGAAATAAAAATATGAATGGTTATTATATCAATGAATACTAGTATTATATATTCTAAAAGATGTTTTTATCATTTTATACAACTTTTAATCGGCTATTTTATTGTAATATCATCTTGTTTATTTTGTTTTTGTCGATTGCTGTTTTTTTAGGTTTTTTATCTAGTGTTTGATTTTGATTTTGATGCTGACTGATTTAGGTTTGGTTTAGAAAGTTCCACTTTAAAGGTTAAAAACACTTAGCATTGAAGATGATTTCATTTTTAAAGTTTGAATCTAAAACCTCCGATTAAGGATAGATGAATATTTTATCACTGACTGAAATTATTGTGGAAATCGAAAGAAGAAATAATTAGATAGTTATCCCAACTTTAAAACGACATTATATTATTATTGACAACATAACTTGATGGTCGATGTGTCAAACATAACAATTCAAAATTACAATATATAAACTAAACTTTCCTATTAACAAAAGGTATGTAATTGAAATTGATGAGATTCTTTCATTCTTATAAAGATCTCGAGTTTGAATTTTGAGAACTGACAAACTCATTGTAAAAAACATTTTCCTCTTTACGAATTCTATGCAATATACATTTAAATTAACCAACTTAGTAATTTTAGATTAAAATAATTATACCAAGTAATACTAAGATTATGCCAGGAGCATAATTATTGGAGCTAGAATATCTAGACTAAATAGTAACTTTATTATTTGTGGATTGTTTTCTTACATAAATATTTGATTTATTAAACTAACAACGAGATATGATATATATAAACCGTTTTTAGTCGTACATATGATATATACTTTGATCAAAGTCGAAATATAGCTTTAGATCTTATTTTTTGTTATAAACCATAGATTTCTGAAATACAATATTGAAGATTACACTTGCTATTTTTCTAAAAAATCTAACTCAATCAATTTTAAAACTACATTCCATAACTTTTCAAAAAGGAAACAAACAATCTTTGCACTATGGAAAGTATATTATAAACAATTATCTTGTAATAATGTAATAATATAAGAAATAACACTTTGTTTCTTCTAAAATGTCATCAACATTAATTCTTTAAACAAGGCATCTATGTTTTGGGCCTTCTAATATATGATTAATATATGTAATCTTCAATTAATTGTAATGTGTACATTACATTTGATTTTTATGTTGATGAATTTTTAAAACTTTAATGAATTATTAACTATTAAATTATTTTGTTGCTCAAATGTTAAAATTAAAATTCATCATTAACTTAAAAGTCAAAAGTGTTATTATACCAAGAATCAAGATATAACAATAATCCAAGCTTCTAAGTGTCATCACAATCAATTCCATTAAACTACTTTATATAACTTTTTTTCAAGAAGGAAACAAGCCATTTAAACACTACTTTCCAAAAAAATTAAGAATTTTGCATTATAAATAGCCTCTTTCACCTTACATCAAAATACACTACAAATATTTGAGATCAATACTTCAATAAGAATGGCTAAGTTTTTAAACTCAATTCTTTGCTTCATACTCATTCTCTCAGGTTTGCCCACTTCTTCTTTAATTATCTTTATTTACTGTCTTGTTTGTGATAAAAGAAAGATCTTAAGTTATATACATTGTAACTATAAAAAAAATATTACACAACTAAGCCACCTTTACATGTTATAGCTAGAGGCAGAGCCAAATTTTTTAATTTATGCGTCCTGAAGCGTAATCTTTTTGCTTGTCACAACTATTGAGTTTTGTCAAATCAAAAGCTAAAGTAGTGGTTTCGCCTCTTCTAACTGCAACAGACAATCTATCTTATTTATAAGATTACAAATCCAAATTTTAAAGAAGTTTATCTGTAGATATCCTTTGAATTATTTGATAACATAAAAATTATTTACACTGGCGATGTATGATTCAAGATCTAAAAGGAGATTAATTGTAATTCTTGTTTTATTGATATATAATATTATGTGTTTATTTGTTTAATTTTGATGCAGTTTTGGCAACCGCTGAAGCAAAAGCCCAAAATGATAAATGCTCTGTAATAATTGATCCAACAGGATGTGTACTTGTTGATTGTCAAAAAAACTGTTTGGAGTATTACATTGGAAAGGGGATTTGCATTAGTCACCCCCATAGCCCAAAGATGTGTGTTTGTGTAATGGATTGTGGCTCCAATTAATGTAACTTTGATCTAACACATATATTTTTTGTCTATTTATGAAATAAAAATATGAATGGTTATTATATCAATGAATACTAGTATTGTCTTTTCTAAAAGATGTTTTTATCATTTTATATCTTATTTAACTTTTAATCGACTATTTTATTGTAATGTCGTTCATGTCTATTTTATTTTATTTTTGTTGATCGTAGTCTTTTAGGCTTTTCACCTGAAGTATGATTCCGATTTGGTTGGTGGTTGATTTAGGTTTGATTTAGAAAGTTCTACTTTTAAGGATAAAGCACTTTGCATTGAAGAAACTTTTGATGAAGGATGGATGAATATTTTATCTGAAATTGTTGTTGAAATTGAAAGAAAAAATAATTAGAAAGATATCCTAACTTTAAAACGTCATTGTATTATTATTGGCAACATAAGTTGATGATTGATGTGTCAAACATAACAATTCACGATTACAATATAACTAAACTTTCCTATCATAAAAAGACCACAAAGATATTGTAGCGAACTCGAATTCTCAACTGAAATACTCAATATTATATAATCACTAATAGCTAAATTACAATGGCAACACTTCAACTATTGAATTACAACGCAAAATACTGAAATAACAAGTAACTCAAGATAGAGATAAGAATAGGGATAAGAAACTTTGACTCTAGAAAGAGATGAGAGGATCTAACAGTTTCTTTCATGATATGCATGAATTCTCCAAACCGCATTGACAACCCTTTTATCTCTACTCAACCTGGATCCCAAACAAATCTATTATTGGGTTATCTTATTCTTGGGCCTTTTCGTGGCTTAGCCATGGACCCAACAACTTGTCTAGGTTCTGGGCTATTTGTGTTCATAACATATATGCAATTGGATAGATGAAAGATCCTTTCATTCTTATAAATATCTCGAGTTTGAATTTTGAGAATTGACACTCATAAAAAAAACATTTTCCTCTTTACAACTTCTATGCAATACACATTTAAATTAATCGACTTAGTAAATTTTTGAATTAAAATGATTATACATAGTAATACTGAGATTATGCGTTGAGCATAATGTTGCGGCTAAAATATCAAGATTAAATAATAACACGATTACTTTGTGGATTGTTTTTTCCATAAAAAATATTTGATTTATTAAACTAACAACGGGATATAATATAAACTGTTTTTAGTTAGACATATCAGATATACTTTGATTTTCAATTTTAATCTCGACTTTCTTCAAGGAAGTTGAAAGAAGAGTTTGGAGAACGGCATCATTGTCATTTTGACATTGAATCTCGAAATTAGTTTTCTTACGAATGTTTGCCACATAAAATATTAAATAAAGACAAAACCACAATTACAATACAACTAATCTTGGAATAAATAACTCAACCAAATGAAAAATAAAATGACTTCGCATTTTACTCAAAAGTTATTAACTCTCATCTCTTTGACCAAAATGAATTCTTACAAAATTCAATGAAAATCAACAACCAAAACAAAAAGAGGAGAAATTGATCAACTTGCACCTTACTTGTTGTTTCGTCATAAATAATTTCAGTCATATGTATTTTTTATACTCACTAAATTTAAAGATTGTTATTTTTTAGTAATTAATAAGATGAAAGTCATTTACCGTTAAAAAAGAAAGAAAAATGATCTCCCTACTTATGAGTGAAAAATAATTTCCTTATGACTAGTTAACTTTCTATTGCTTGTTTCAATTAAAATATTATTATTTATTAGTGATCAATAATTTCCTTATGACTAGTTAACTTTCTATTGCTTGTTTCAATTAAAATATTATTATTTATTAGTGATCAATAATTTCATTGAAATACTCTCAAGTTCATGATATATATACATATTCAAAAAAATATCTTACATAAACGAATCAAACACCAAAATATATTGCTTATAAATATTTTAAAATATGTTTACTATATAAAAAGAAAGACTTTCGTCATACCAAAGTCAAATGTTATGTATATGGTAAGTAAACTATATATCTAGCTAATTACTTTTCAAAATAAATCAAGTTTTTAAAACAAATCATTTATGTTATGTATGGTAAGTAAATTATACATCTAGCTAATTACTTTTCAAAATAAATCAAGATTTGAAAACAACGCATTTATGTTATGTATGATAAGTAAATTACACATCTAGCTAGTTGCTTTTCAAAATAAATCTAAATTTTATAAATAAATCTAGTTTTTGAAAATAAGTCATTTATGTCACATATGGTAAGTAAATTATACCTCTAGCTAATTACTTTCTAAAATAAATGTGAATTTTGAAAATAAGTCACTTATGTATGGTAAGTAAATTATACATCTAGCTAATTACTTTTCAAAATAAATCTAGATTTTGAAAATAAGTCATTTATGCTATGCATGGTAAGTAAATGATACATCTAGCTAATTACTTACCAAAAAAAATCTAGATCTTAAAAATAAGTCATTTATGTTATGTATGATAAGTAAATTATACATCTAGATTACTTTCCAAAATAAATCTAAAAAATTCACACTATAAAAGCCCCTTTCACCTTGCTTTACCAAAACACACAACTCTAGAAAATTCCCTTAAAACATTTGAGTTCATCAAACTTCAATAATGGCTAAGTTCTTGAGCTCTATCATTTGTTTCTTTCTCATTCTTTCAGGTTAGTCTCCTTTTTCTTAGTAAAAAAAAATTCTTTTTATATACTTATTGTTTTGTTTGTGATATAAAAAAATAGTTGCAAATTCAAAAGTCATTAAAAATAGCATTTCTTTTGAAATCCACGACTCTATCATGAATTTCAAACTTTAAAAAGTTGAACTTCACCATAGTAATCTGGACGAAATCTCAAAATATGTAATAAAGTTTCACCCTTGGTCGCTATCACAAATTTCAAAAACCATGACTATATATATATATATATATATATATATATTGCCTTTTAAATTCAAAAATTCATAACATTATCATGGTGTTTCCACATCACTTTTGATATGTAGCCCATAATTTTTACTAATTTTTGATGTAGTTGCAATGACAAGTACACAAGTGAAAGCCCAGCAAAGATGTTCTGAGACATTGAAGGCCTCAGATTGCACCATAGCTGAGTGTCAAAGTGAATGCTTACAAAAACATAATGGAACTGGAGTTTGTACTGGTGGCAATGTAGGCCCATTAAGTTGTGTTTGTGTTTACAATTGCTAGCTTCAATATTTTGAACTCTCCCTTTTTTATGAAAAAAAAAAGAGTCATCAATAAAATATTAATCATTTTCCTAAGTATTGTTTCATTCATTCTTACCTCATTTAACCTTCTTTTAAGTATATATGCATATATATTGTTTTGTCTTGTTTATTATTTCGTCAATCTTAGCGCGACTGAAAAGTACATTTTATATATTGTTGACAATCATATGAATTTTGATTAACCATCGATATGATTATTTCACCAAACATAATTGAGTTGATAGCCATACGAATTTTGATTAACCATTGATATGATTATTTCACCAAACATAATTGAGATTGAAAAGAAAAATCAGAAACGAATATCTTATAAATTGTTGTAAACGACATGAATTACAGATCAATCATAAATATATTGATATACTTATTCACATCGAACATATTCGAATAATATAATATATGAACACTCTTTTTTTCTTTTTATAAACTCATAAAACAATAAGTCGTCTATTGAAAAACAACAATTAATCATATAAATTTTCGACTTAAAATTTAACCAACATTTCACATGTACTTGGCTCATAAAAATAGTCTAAATAGATTCGCTCCAACAAATTAAGTTTTTAGATGAGATTATCACACATATAATTCACGTTATTTAAAAAAATCGGGTGGGAATTCTCGATTAATGTAGAGTGTAGACTAATTAAAAGGTGCAAGATTTTTATTTTAAGTAATAAAATAAATAAATAAAAATTCAGTCTTCTAGATCCTTCTCAGCAATTCGAGTCTTTTGGAACCCTCTAGAACCTTTTTTTCCTGTTCTTTTTCTCTCACTGCGTTCCATTGGTCCATCACGTACTCCCGCAACACAGAATCAATTCCTCTCTAACGTGCTCATATCGCCGCCGCCGTACTCCGCCTCAGCGCCGCCGTAAAATGGCTCGTCTTGGAGAAGGAGACAAACGATGGATCGTGGAAGATCGACCCGACGGCACCAACGTTCACAATTGGCACTGGGCTGAAACTGACTGCCTCGAATGGTCACGAAACTTCCTCACTAACCTTTTAGCCAACAAAACCCTAATTGACGGCGAAGGTAACCTCAAAATCCGGACGAAAAAGATCGAAAAGCTTGAAGGAGAAGCTTATGTGAATATCCGGAAGGGGAAGATTATTCCGGGTTACGAATTGAATTTGGTTGTCTCTTGGGAAGGGGAAGTGAAGGAAGCTGATGGTAGTAGTGTGATGAAAATTGAAGGAAATGTTGAATTTCCTTACATTGCTGATGAGAATGCTGATGAAGATCCGGAAGTTAAGGTTATGGTTAAGGATGAAGGACCTATCGGGAAGAGATTGAAGGATGCGTTTGTTGTAAAAGGAAAGCCCTTTGTTTTGGAGCAAGTGAAGACGTATGTTAATGCTATGGCGAATGGTGGTCCTGCAAAGGAAGAAGGTGAGGTGAAGAAAGTAGTTAAGAAACCTGCTGGTGCTGGAAATGTTGCCCTTCCTCCTCCGATAGCTGTGGATGAGAAGGCAAATGTTGTTGTGGCTAAGAAGGAGAAGAAGAAGGAAGGGTTTAAGACGATTACGATGACGGAGAAATTTAGCTGTAGGGCAAAGGATTTGTTTGAGATATTGATGGATGAGAATAGGTGGAAGGGTTTTACTCAGAGTAATGCAAGGATAAGCAAAGAGGTGGGAGGAGAGTTTAGCATATTTGATGGTTCAGTGACTGGAACTAATGTGGAGTTGCAAGAAGGAAAATTGATTGTGCAGAAATGGCGATTTGGTAACTGGCCTGATGGTTTACATTCCATGGTACGATTTCCTGACCTTTGCTTCTGTATTTGTGTTTCTGTGTTTTGTCAAGAGTCTCCTTTTAACGTTAAATAAGGCAAATTACTTAGTATTGGAACGATATGTATCTGAACAGAGTGGCACTGAAGTTAAAGAATGGTATAGCTGACCTCAACTAATTGGATTCGAAGTAGCTGATTGATTGATGTATGATCTTTTATGGGTTCGTAGTGTGTAGGATGAGTTATGTTCTAGCTAACTTAACTAGTATTTGTATGTTTTTGAATACTTCCATATGAATGGGCAAAAGATATAAACTTATGTCTTTTATTTTTAATGTTAATAAGTCAAAATGTTTTTGTATTGGAATGATAGATTAGAGTGGAAAGGAAGCTGGAGAATGGTTTAGCTGACCTCAACTAATTTGGATTTGAGTTAGCTGGCTGATTGATATATGATCTTTTATGGATTTGTAGTATGTAGAATGAGTTGTTTTCTTGGTAACTACTAGTATTTGTATGTTTAATTTTGAATATTTCATATGAATAGGCAAAAGATAGAAGATTGAGTCTTCTTTTTAATGTTAATTAAGGCAAAATATTTAGTATTGGAATTAAATATATATGATTAGAGTGGAAAGGAAGCTGAAGGATGGTATAGCTGACATGAACAAATTTGGATTCAAGTCTGATTGATTGATATATGATCTTCTATGGGTGTATAGTGTGGAGAATGGGTTATGTTCTAGGTCACTTTAGTAGTAGTTGTATTGGATTCAAGTCTGATTGATTGATATATGATCATCTATGGGTGTATATTGTGGAGAATGAGTTATGTTCTAGGTATCTTTAGTAGTATTTGTATGTTTTAGTTCAAATATTTTCATCTGAATAGGCTAAAGATATAAGCTTGAGTCTTCTTTATAATGTTAGATTAGGCAAAATATTTAGTATTGGGATGAAATATATCTGATAAGAGTGGAAAGGAAGCTGAAGAATGGTATAGCTAACCTCAACTTATTTGGATTTGAGTTATCTGATTGTTTGAGATATAATCTTTATGTTCTAGGTAACTTTACTAGTAGTTGTATGTTTAGTCCAAATATTTTATCTGAATAGACAAAAGATTAACCCTAAGTTTTCCTTTTTAATGTCAATAAGATAAAATATTTAGTATTGGAATGAAATATATCTGATTATAGTGGAAAGGAAGCTACTGTGAGGGGCAGCTTTCTTAGATGACACTGGAATAGGTGGAAGATGTGTGATGTCTATTCAAGTGTACAGTTCTCTGTTACTTTAGCTTCTTACTTGAACTAGAACGCAAGCAGTGACGATGTTGAAGTCAACCCCTAGTTTTAAATAGGTCCAAATTGACACATGGTTTTGGGCTTTCGGTGTTGTTCTTCAACACAATTTGGTGTATCAATGGTGCTGTTTGAATTATTCCCCCAGGGCTTTGGTCTAGTGGTAAGGGTGTAGCTTGTGAATGTCTGGTAGTTAAGTGGAGAAGGTAGAAGGGCAGACTCATCATGATAATCTCATACCTCACACAGGATAATCTCTCCAAAAAGATATTCCAACTTGCCAACCGATGCTACTTCTGCCACAAGCACACAGAAAGTGTCAACCACTTGCTACTGCACTGCCCTGTTGCCTCAAACCGTTGGAATATGTTTAGCTGTTCTTTTGAGTCTTTCCTGGGTCATGCCTTTCTCTGTTAGGGATGCTCTTGAAAGTTGGAGTTCATGGGAAGTTGACAAAGCTATCAAGAGTAGCTCCATGATGATCCCTGGTGCTATTTGGTGTTTATGGCCTGAGAGGAACAAACGATGTTTTGATGAAATTTCAACTTCTAGAAATCTTCTGCCTAGTTTTAAACCATGCACCATTGGCCTTTAGGGATTTCCCAGTCATAAAAAATCATGTTTGAATTGATTTTCTAACTTTAAAACTCTCTTTATCATCGCTCGTCATTTCTATTCATCGTACAGTGTGGTCAATATGTTTAAATAGATAGAACTGTGACTACCTGCTGGCGACAAGGCGTGTTGTGTGTTGTGAGCCTTAGGATCTAAATAAATGGGTCTGATAGAATGGTGGTCTTTTCTGATACATCTCTGGTGATGATGAAACGTTGCAGGTCCGAATTACTTTTGAGGAACCTCAATCTGGAGTTACAGTAATCAATTTGACACATACAGATGTACCAGAGGAAGACAGGTGCGTTGTAGTTTATCTGATTACTTGTGTTAGTTTGCTTGTAAATTGGTTATACGAATTTTGTTTTCTCATTTTTGCTACTGATGGTGCAGATATGGTAACGCAACTGTTGTGGAGAATACAGAGAGAGGATGGAGGGACCTTATCTTCCACAGGATACGGGCTGTTTTTGGTTTTGGAATCTAAATTCTCCTCAAGTGTGGAATTTTACAATCGATGCTTCCCTTCAGTAACTGCATACTGTATGAGTCCGTTCAACTGAGTTTTTCCTGAGTCGATTGTCAGTTTCTTCAAGCTTAATAACTCAATTTGATGGTGAACTTTTAGAATTTGTCTCCAGTGGAACTTGTCTTCAATGAAAACTTATTCATCTTTGTTGGACGATCGTTGCATCCAGTTTTTCGTTTAATTATTGCTTGTTTGGTAGTAGTTTGGTGTGATGGTGCTTCTTCCATTATTTTTTGTATGCATCATTTTGATATCAATGCCTACTGATGGGCTGGCTAGTGGCAATCCATTTTAGCTTTGTCTATTTTCAATCCGTCCAAATCTGATTCAACTCACCCATTTGCCACCACTACGTCAGCGTATATATATACTAATTGTTTCGAGCAAAGTTTTTAAGTTCCAACATCACCAATATTTCACCATATTTGATAATGCAAAAGGATCCTTTGTAACAACTGTACATATTGAAATGCCCTTTGCTGAATATACAAATTGATGTCAAACTTTGGACAAAGCAAAAGAAATTTGTTGTTTATTTGGACTAGTAACAACTATATAAAGTTTTTGATCATTTCTCTCACTTCTTCAATTACAAGCCATGCCTTGTGCCCTCCAATCACCTCAGCTTTCATTTCCCCATCTTTCCACAACTGCAACAACAATTACGCCTCAGACTCAAACAAGTTAGGATTTGACTATATTAATTCCCTCTTTTGTTATTTAAGCTCATTTCATATCATCATCAAATTAAATAAAATGAAAAGATCTTTCGAACTTTTGAAAGGTTGGAGAATCCATAATGCTCACCTGAATTGTTGGCATTTTCTGGAAATCAAAACAAGAATAAATTAGCTGGCTAACACAGGAACATGAACAGCAATAGACAGCTAAAAGATTACTTAAGTTGTTCCCAAAACAGTACTTACCGAGATGTTTCCGCGCTTGACTAAAGTTTGTGGCACTTTATTGACATCCACATAGTAGAATTTGAGTCTAAAAACAAGAACATAAAAATCCAGTTTCTTGTCAAACTACTGCCAAATTAATAACATGGCAAAATAGTTCATTATTTCCAAGGCATTGTATTGTCTTAGAGAGCAGACATGAAAAAGGGGCTTACTTGGTATCAAACTCAGCAGCAAGTTTCTCCAATTTAGGCTTCAAATATATGCATTTCCGGCACCAAGCTGCCATCCTATCAATCATTTGCTACAAACAAATCAATCTAACGACAACTCTATGAATTTGATTCTGTCTCTAAAAATGAAGAAAATAATCATCCAGTGTCCAAAGTTCATTATCTAACTAATCCAGAGATTCCATCTCTGGGATCAAACACGAGATTTGTGGTTAAAAGAAGGACCTTTACTATCAAAAAGACTTCATCTCAGAACTCAAACTCAAAACCTATCATTAAAGGAAGGAGCTTTACTATCTAAAAGACTCCATCTTGAAGTTCAAACCTGAGACCTATAGTTAAAAGGAGGACCACCTATACAATCAAAAAAGCTTCTCGTCTTAGATTAAAACCCGAGACCTATGGTTAAAGACAGAACCTTTACCATTCAACCACATTACACTAAAACTCGAGACCTATGATTAAAGACAAAACCTTAACAATTCAACCTCATTAAACAAAAACTCAAGACCTATGATTAAACACAAAACCTTTACCATTCAACCACATTAGACTACAACTCGAGACCTATGATTAAAGACAGAACCTTTACCATTCAAGCACATTAGACCAAAACTCGAGACCTATAATTAAAGACAAAACCTTTACCATTCAACCACATTAGACTAAAACCCGAAACCTATGATTAAAGACAAAACTTTTACCATTCAACCAGAGTCTTTCTTGTATCACAAAGAAGGTAAAGATAAGATTTTTACCAATCAATGATGATAGGTTGTGAAAGCTCTTTAGCAGAGTCTAAAATCTGATCAAGTTGTTCACTACTCTCAATGGGTTGCATCTCAACAGCAGCTGGTCTTGACAAATCTGCCCAAGAGGCATGAATTCTAAACTCCCTTTTTATTTTCTTCTTCCAATCACCTCTTCTTTTGTCAACAAAACAAAATCCATATGATTTTACAATATTTAGATTCCCTCCACTGTTCAAAAACAGATGCTGATTCTCTCTATTGTAGATTTCTCTGTACAAAATTTGGGAATTTGGTGCTAAAATTGACATTTTTTAGAAGTTTTTGGTACTTGAAAAGAGGTGAATGTATAAAAAAGATCAGATATTTGGGTGTGTGAGGTTTTTTTCCTCATTTTTTAATTTACAAGTAGATATTTTTGTCAAAGGTACAAACTTGTGATGCATTCTTGATTTTATTGCTTGAAGGTAAAGCTTATCCACTTATCCTTGTAGTGTATTGGAGTTTTGTTAAAGAAAAAAGACCATTTGGTGCCCATCTTGTAGTAGAGTTGCTTTTTCTTAACCCTTTGTCCATGTGGAAACACTATATAATACGGTGTCAAATGGACATGTTAGGTTGAATTTGAACGAGTTAATATCAATGAATTAATTAATGAGAGGATCATTAACTCGGTTAAAAGTTACTTAAGCTGAAATGAGTTAGATCAAAATGGGCTAACCAATAGATCATATTCTAATTCGAGTTTTGATCTATTGATTTTCTTATAATTTGTTTAAGTATTTGATAGCTTATTTTTCTTCTAAATATGATTGTATATCGTATATCAAACAAAAAGATATTTTTTTAAAATCATTTCCTCCTTCGTAGGCTTTTTTTTTTTTGTTTCCCACCCGATGTCCGGAGCCCACATTGGAGCTTTGATTAAATTTGGATCGCGCACTACAGGGCCCATTCGGGGGTGGTGCTCCCAATAGAATTTTCTCCATACCCAGGGCTCGAACCGAGACCTCTAGTTAAGGGTGAAGTACTTCCACCAGTGCACCACAACCCATGTTGGTTTCTTCGTAGGCTTGATACGCCTTACTCCACAAGAAATTACATCTTATAATCTTGAAAATTGATGGTCTTGAGCTTTTGATATCCATTTGCATCAAGTTCAAAAGGAAAAACTTGTTGACCTAGAAGCTTTGTTCATTAGGCAAGTGAAGCTGGGACAAAATTTTAATATCACCGATCTTCAAGGTCATTCTTGTAAATCATCCCTCCACTCGAATCCTATGTAATTCTTATTGGGCCTAATAATTTAAAAGCCCATCAGCATATTTGAGTTTAGGGCAACCCAACATAGATTGGGCTGATAAAGCCTATCAAAATAAGGAAGGAAGCACACTTGATCATTTTTGCTTACTTATCATTGTGGTGAAATGATAAGTATTTTTTTGTTTTGTTTAGAGATCTTAATTTCGAGTCCAGGATAATAGAAAGTCTTCTTTAAACTTTATCCTTCAAAGTGAATTTTTTTAACGCGGACGTTAATTAATCAAACTTCAAAGCAAATATAATCTCCGGATGACCAAAAAGAAAAAAGTTATAGTGGCTTATAGAGGAATCACATGACAACTAATTAAAAGTCCATGTTATTCTATTCAATTTTCATATTACAAAAGTGCGTGACAGAACTAAAAATTATCTCAGCATTTCGTCTTTTTTCTATTGGAGTCATCTAATTTTTTTTTTCTTTCATTTAAATGAAAATTTTGGTTGAATTTCTATTATAGATTTAGTTAAAATTCATATTAATTCTAAAGGTGTAATGACAAATAGGTACATATTTTAAATTTGAAATTATATTTAGATATGTATTTTATTTAATATAGATTTTTTAATAGATGAACTTCAAAAATTGACTAAATCTTATGGACGAATAATATTCAACATTTTTTTATATAAAACAATCCACTTTCAATAGTACCTATGATTAAACGATAGCTTCATATTTGATGAAATATTTAGTCGGTGGACAAAAAGTGGTTGGCAAATAGGAAGTTAAGACTTTAATGAAATTATTGCCCCTTTTCCATTGGTCATTAATTCTTCAATTATAAGAGGTGTATATTATTCAAGTTTCTCTCTTCTTCTTCTTCATTTTTTTAAAAAAATAAAATAAATAAGAATCTCATATAAAAATAATTCAGTTACATGTTTATGAAAAATGAAAGGATTCCATAATTTTTTACTTTTTGTGAATGAATATAAAATCTTTGAACTCAACTATCTAACACAATAAAATATGATATGCATTCTCATATATATATATTGTTGATATTAGGGAGAAAATTTAGGATTTAAAATTTGTATGTTCGTTCATGTTATATATCTCAAGTTATTATACACAAAAAAATTAATAAATTTACAATTTAATATTTAGTATATTGTAATTTGCAGATAACCTTCAAAAAAAATTATGCTAGAATTTTTTCCGCATTAATTTTCAGACAATCGCTTGATTGATATATTTATCTTACAAGTCATTGAACGATCAAATCGTTTACATATAAATCAAATAGTAGCATTAGAACAATAAAAATACATAGTAAGAAAAAAAAATTGTAATTCCGTGAATCATATGACCTCTCAAAATTTTGAGTCCATACTTGCCATTTTATTAGTAGAAATAAGTCGACACATATGAGTAATTGATTCTTCCTAGTATGGTCCTAGCCTCCTAGGGACATAATGTTTGATATACCGACAACTATACTAAGTTATCGTAAAAGATTGTGATAGAGTGATAAATATTTTTATCTTTAATTATTAAGAGGTTTCGAATTCGATGCATGAGTATAAAATTGTTTTTAGTAGAAAATATACAATTTTACTTTCTTAAGTGAGACTTACTAACACGAATCCAAATTAATCTGACTCCAAATAGATACCAAACACCAAAACAAATAAATATAAGCTGTTGTGACTTGACATATTGTTTTTTTTTTCTGTTTAGCCATTTATATCCCAAGCAACTAGTTTGATTAATTCGAGTTCCTGTTGGTTAGGCTCCTTAGTGAATTAAGTGCTCCTTGTTATGTCGAATCAGAATTTTAATTTAATGAATTGTGAATTTCAGAATGATGACTTAAAGTGTAAATAACAATGAGCTTCAAATTTCATGTGTGTGCATATTTAAATTAATTTTAAAATATATAAATAAATTGTCTAACTAAAAATATTAAGTTCATCAGAATTTTTATGATAATTTTGCTTGAAAACAAAACAAAACCATCTTAATTTTATGATCATAAATTCGATTCGATTATTATTCTTCAAAAGAAGAATATAAGGACTTATTATTTTAAATTTTATGAGATGATGATCAAAAGTAATTGTTGCACTTTAGATCATAAAACATGGGCTTTAACTGAAGATTAACCAAACTTTGTTAATCAGCATGATATACATAAAAAAATTTGAATGTATGATTTTATTTTATTTTTTGAAGAATTGACAATGCTTTTACCCACTATGCTTCATTCACTATATCAAAAAAACTTTCAATGATATTTAATTAATAAAAATATCTTAATTATCAATAAATATATATTTTTAGAGATAAATGTTCTTAAAATCAATAGCAACATTAAATCTAACGATAATTAATTAATGCTGATAAATATTTTCACTTTTTATTAATATTTATATTTATTACCGTTAAAAGTTACGGATTACTTTTTTTTAACAAAATCTAACAAATTTTCAAGGTAACACCTTTTTAACCTTATATTGGTGAAAAAGTAAAAGACAAACATTCTAATTAAAGTACTTCTTGTTTCTACCCAAAAAAAATAAAGTACTTCATTTTAGGCGTGTACACATGGAAGCATCTCCTTCGTTTGTTATTTATCTCCTAAATTCTCTCTGACAATACCAAGGCAAGTATTCCTGCTAATAGACTCAAAAACAAGTGTTATTTTCATTTTTCAAACTTAAAAGTGTCAGCAAAATATTGACAAAGTTGAAAAAGGTGAACTAAGCTTTGACCTTTTGAGTCCAAATATTTCCTAATAAAGAGTAAATTAATGAATATTATTTGAAGCAATTTCTTCACTTTAAATTTAATTAAAGTAGCTTTGTTTACATTAATCCATATTTAGTAGTATTGATTCATTGTTGATTAGTAATCATTGGTACAAATTTGGTTGAAGTTGAAGCTAAATGAGTGTGTTCTAGAGTTGATTAAGCTATATTAGGACATGTATTATACTCGAAAATAATTTTTTTTCCGAAATTTACTATTTATGAGTAAATATAATTATTTCATCAATATTTTGACTTGTTAGTAAATATTATTATTTCACGCTTTAATTGACAAACATAAATACATAAAACTTTTTGGTCTTAAATAATATTTATCTTACAAAATTTTGAGTTTTCGTATCAAAATTTAGGGATGAAACGACTTTTTTATATGGTCTTAAATAACACTCGTCTTGTGACCCAAAATCCATTTTCAAATTATGATATTAAAAGCAAACTTATCTTAATATTTTATAAACCCAATTTTGAACCTCGTATCATATTATTTATGCTCTAATTAGCATAAACATTTAGAAAATAAAATGATCAACTTTTAAGTTCATATATAATAACTAGTAAATCACCTCAGAAATGTAAATTGTGGCAGAGTCAAGCTGCCCAAAGACATGTTCTTATGCACTACTTATCCATCCGCTAGTAAAAACATCATTTCTTGTTCGAGTTGCATGGGTTAAACATGCTGCCAACGTTCATTTTAAATCGAAATTAATCTCTCCTCAGAATTTATAGTTGCATTACTTATAGCTTATTAGACAAGTTCAATACGATAAACTCTGGATAACAAAGAATTAGATGAATTCGATCTCTTATCTCACTAATACTAAAAAAAAAATAAAAAAAATCTAGAAAGCAGTACTCCAGTTTTTCCACAGAGAGAAGCACACATTGAGAGTCTACATTCCACACAACACGCTTTAATACATCCCAACTTTCTTCTTCCTCTTTCTCTCTCTTTGCCATTTACTGCTTTTTTTACTTCTCTCTCACTTCTCAAGGCTTTTCATTCTTCTCTCTTCTTGTTTTCCACATCTCAACTTATATCAATACATTGTGTTTTTCCATTAAAAAAAAAACACCCCACTAGGCAGATATGGCTGATACAGCAAAATATACACCAATTAATGGTGGAAAAACTCTGATTACAGACCTGAAAACTCACTTCTCTTTTCTTAAAACCAAAAGAACTGTTACTTGTGCATATGGGTTCATGTTTGTTTTCATTCTTGTTACTTTTTTCTTGGCTTTTAGTCCTTCACCCAACTCTTCTTCTCCTTGGTTCACAAATATCTTCTCTTTAAGCAGTAGTAGTACTAGTACTAGTAGTGGAAGTACTTTTTCTGATGAATCTTCTAGATCTCACTTCTCTTCAGTTTATTCTTACTTTTTCCCCAATTCCTCACAGCAACTTCAAAATTTCACTAACCCCAGATCCCAAAACTCCAATTTTGAGCCTCTAAACAATGATTCAGATGATAAAGGTGAAGTCTTGGAAAGCCCCTTGAAGCCTTCTGTGAATGTGTCAGCAGTAGCACCAGTATCTTCATCTGGGTTGAATCAAGAATCATCAAGTGTGAAGGATCAGTCTAAAAGTAAGGATTTTGATGATAAAAATGGAGTCTTGAAAAACCCCTTGAAGCCATCTGTGAATGTGTCAGCAGTAGGATCAATATCTCCATCTGGGTTGGATCAAGAATCATCAAGTGTGAAGAATCAGTCAAAAAGTAAGGATTTTGATGATAAAAATGGAGTCTTGGAAAGCCCCTCAAAGCCTACTGTGAATGTATCAGTAGTGGCAGCAAAATCCTCTTCTGAGTTGAATCAAGAATCATCAAGTGTAAAGAATCAGCCTAAAAGCAAAGATTTTGATGATAAAGTTGGAAACTTGAAGGCAAATCAGAGTAAAAATCCATTGGAAAAGTCATCAGCAAGTGTCAATCAGACAGCAAAATCTGGTAGTGAGAGTAAAGAGAAGGGAATTGCAGAAAAGGGAGTGAAGGGTAATTTCACTTCCTCATTTGTGAAAAGCCAGAGTGATGGAACAAATTTAGATGTGTCTGCAAAGAAGAAGAAGGATGAAGATTTGGTTAAGTCTTTATTGAGTTGTGATTTTTTTGATGGGAATTGGGTGAAAGATGAGTCTTATCCTTTGTATAAACCTGGTTCTTGTTCTCTGATTGATGAACAATTTAACTGTTTTCTCAATGGTAGACCTGATAATAATCACATGAAGATGAAATGGAAGCCCAATGCTTGTACTCTTCCAAGGTAATATTTTGCTATTTATGCTCAACTTAATTCTAATCATAATTTTATCTGGTCTATGAGCTTAAAGAACCTCAAAACTTGTTCGGGACTGAGGTGTAGTTGTTGTTGTTGTTGTTTGAACTCCGAATTGGCACGAGTTTGAGCTTAAGTGAGGCAATGATGATTCATATAGCTGATCCCAACGTGTTTGGACTGAGGCGTAATAGTTGTTGTTATGATCTCCAAATTAGGCCGACTTCAACTTGTTTGCGACTGAATATGTTGTTGTTGTTGATGAGTTTATATGCTTCTTGTGTTTTCAATCACTCAAGAAAATCCCTTGCTTGTGGAATATGGCATTTTTCATTTTTGTTCATTATCTGTGAGATTTGATCTAGTTCTTTAATTAAACCATGATTTCTTTATCTCAAAGTTGATCTTTTTCATCGATTACGTTGTAAATTAATATTATAACAAGCTATTTGCACTTGTTTTGCTTCTTTGAGATCGAATCAATATATGTATTCTTGAAGTTTTCTAACAATTGATTTTTGGAACTTGTGGACAGATTGAATGGAACTCATATGCTGGAATTGTTGAGAGGAAAGCGATTAGTATTTGTCGGTGATTCGCTCAATAGGAACATGTGGGAATCCCTTGTTTGCATTCTTAGAAACTCTGTCAAAGATCAGAAAAAAGTTTATGAAGAATCTGGCAGACAACATTTTAGGACTGAGGCTTCATATTCATTTCTATTTGAGGTAAGATACCGTACCCATATCGGAGGCATTTTTGAAGAGTCTGAGCAACATAGCTACTATTAGACTTCGTAATCATTATATGTTCATAATCTAATGACATCTTTAAATTTTTCGATAATTCAGGAGTATAATTTCAGAGTGGAGTTTTTTGTATCTCCATTCTTGGTTCAAGAATGGGAATATGCAGATAAAAAAGGAACAAAGAAGGAAACACTTCGACTTGATTTGATCGGACAGTCTGCTGATAAATATAAAAATGCAGATATCTTAATCTTCAACACCGGCCACTGGTGGACACACGAGAAAACTTCCTTGGGGTAAGATTTATTGTTTTTTTTCTCAATCAATGTGTATAATCTATAGTTGTTTATGCTTTAAGAATATAGTTTTACATTAAACAATGACGCATGTTACAGGAAGGACTATTATCAAGAAGGAAGTCACGTATACAACGAATTAGATGTTCTTGAGGCATTTCGAAAAGCTTTAACAACATGGGGAAGATGGGTTGATTCCCATGTAAATCCTAAGAAAACATTTGTTCTCTTCAGAGGTTATTCTGCGTCTCATTTTAGGTAAATCCCCGATTACATCTACTTGTCGATAAATCAAGTTCTCTTCTCTATAGTAGTGTCGTTATTCATCGGTTGATTTCACGTTTGGTTTTCACCTGTGGTTACTGAACTTTATTCACTATAATAGTAAAGTCACAAAACTATCTTTTGTTGCCTTAAAGTACGTGTAAATTGCTCAAACAATGACTAGAAGGAGGAATTCCCGATGTCGGGTAATTCTTTTAATAGTATTTCTACCATTTAATATTATTTTGTGCCAGAAATTTAACCTTTGGTTCATTTGTATCATTTGAGCAATTCACACCTAGTTCAGTTACTTTAATGTGACAAAAAATAGTTTTGTGATTCTACCATTACCACGGATGAAGTTAAACGACCATTCATGAAATTAACTTGTTCATCCATAACCTATTTGTTCTGTCGCCCTATATTTGCTCAGACTCTACAAAAATGTTATTGCTGCACTCGTATTGGATCCTCGATCGATGCACTACTTTGGAGGATCCAACAAGCACTTGACAACATTTTTAAAAAGTCCGAGCAACATAACTTTTACCTATTAATATTATATCAATACAACACACAAAGTGTAATACCACAAGTGGGGTCAGTGGGAGGGTAGGATGTACGCAGACATTAGAAAAGTAGTTTCCGATATAATATTATATCATTGTTTTGCTTAAACTATCTTCTTTTTTCTTCATAGCGGCGGACAATGGAATTCAGGTGGAGCTTGTGACCATGAAACAGAACCAATCAAGAACACAACATATCTAACACCATATCCATCAAAGATGAATGTATTAGAAAGAGTTTTAAAAGGGATGAAAACTCAAGTCTCATATCTCAATATCACAAGAATGACTGATTTTCGAAAAGATGGTCATCCATCAGTGTATAGGAAACAAAAATTTACAGTTGAAGAGAAGAAAACACCATTGTTGTTTCAAGATTGTAGTCATTGGTGTCTCCCTGGTGTGCCTGATGCTTGGAATGAGTTGCTATATGCCAAGATTTTAGTAAATCAACATCAAAAACAACAAGACGACAAGAAGTCGTAGAGGGTCGGGCCCATTATTCATCGAGTGTCACACTAGTAAGCCTCATTGACCCTCAGGAATTTCTCGATTATATATACAAGAATATGGGAGAGTATGTTTATAGACTATATACGCGAGAGTTGAGAAGCTTCCCTCATTCTTTTCGTGAAGGGGTGCCTTGGAGCAACAATAATGTTGTCTTCATGTAATCTATGCATTATTGGTTCGAGCTGTGTAATCAATTACTGATGCTTATGTCAAGGTAGACTATCTATATCACATCATGTAAATTATATTCTTAAATTATTTACATTATTTATTATGAATAATTTATAGAATCATAAGATTAATCGTGCTTGGGATCAGGGGTATTGTATACATTTTTTTTTAATACAAAATTGTTGTTTGTGACATAGCATTTTTCTTAATTATTGAGCGTAATTAAGGGATCTAATTAAAAGTTCCATGTTACACATGACATCTCTGCTTGACAATGAAAATTAGTTGTTTGATTAGAGAGCTTGTCGTGTTGGACTGTTTAGGAAAAAGATGGTTAAAGTATTTCTTAAATATTTTAATCCTGTTTATTTTTTCTAGTTCACATGGGATGTTCTTCTAAAAGTGTTCTAGTTATTTATACTAAAATAAATAAATAATTACATTTAATATAATTTAACCAGTTCTTATATAAGTATTTTACTTTATATGAGTATCTTATTTTTCTAAGGTAAACATATTAAATTCACTGTGAAAGTTAAGTCGACCAAATCTAATAGCTTAATCATGAAGACTTCTAATTAATTACTACTCCCTCTCCGTTTCTATTATTATGTCGTCCTTAGTAAAAATAGATGATTCTAAATGAGTACTACTTCCGTCCACTTTTAAATATCATAGTTTTCTTTTTTAGAGTCAAATGATAATAACTTTGACTAACATTTTACGATATATTTTTTCATCATATTAATATGCAAAAAATTGGAATTTATAGTACTTTTTGTATAGTATTTGAATATCTAAATCTTTTGTTTAAAATATCGAATTAATGTAATCTAATTTAACTTTGAAAATTAGTCAAATTAACTTTGCGAAAAGCACAACATGACAATTAAAAAGTGGACATGGGAGGTTTGTCATTTCACAAAATCAATGCTTAAATGACACTATTCTTCCTATTTTACCCTTGTGAGTTATTAGCCTTAAAAATATACATTTGACCAACATAGAAAAATTAAATAAATAATTCATGTCCATTGGTCAAATTAATTAATCAAAGTAAATTAATTCATGTTAATTGATTGAAAATTTGGCTTAAAAACATTAAATATGAGTAGAATATTAAACTTACTTAATTTCTTAATGCACGTAAAATCTAAAATGATAGATATATAACTAAGAACAGAGAAATTGTGTTTTATTGGATTTAGTTTTTCGTATGTTAACTTGAACGTCGTAAAATAATAACATGTAAAAAAGTAGATTTTTCAGTGTTTCAAAACTATCTTGAATACACTTTTTCGGGGAAGGAAAAAAATGACATTATATATGTAACATGTTTAAATAAAAAATTACTTTAAAAAAAAAAACATTATATATGTAACATATTTAAATAAAAAATAAGCAAATCCTACTTTTAAAAAAACAATCCTATTTTGGGTGGATTAAAAAAAAAAGTCTCATATAAATTAGTACAATATGTGTTTTGGATCATATTTATGGTATATAGCTATTTATGGGTTGTCTTCAACTATTTTAGATAAAGTCATCCAATTGCCCAATTTGAATTGATCGCTTCATAGGGGACCATGCAATTTAATGCAGTTAATTGTTCATGATATCATTATTGAGCGCAAATGTGCGTATCATGTAAATCTATCATATTCCTTATAAAACTCTTTACTTCCTTCTCTCGTTTTGATATGAGATTCACCCAAGTTATAATATGCATCTTTATTTGGAAGTTTATTAGCTTAGGTCCGTCCTTCGTTATGAGTGTTGCATACATCCCTCTTAGGTACTTACTATTCTTGTTGAGTTTTTGTCCCATGATCGTTCTAAGGGAGTATCATGCTCTGATATTATATTTATCACGAAACCCAAGCTCATGACACATATTATATGTTTTGGCCAACATATTCTAAGAATTTGTTCCTCAAATTGCGCAATCATCGAACTTAAAAGCGGATGTATCGTATAAACTTGTACTTTACCTTACAAAAACATTTACTTTTCTCTTACATTTCAAAGATTCGCCTAAGATGTAAAATACAGACCTTTAGAGGCGAGAGAGACCTATCAATACTTCTCTTTGGCCTCATTTGTTACGAATTGAAACATCATGATTCTCAACGCATTTCATTGACCAATACACCAAACCTCGATTCATGACATGAAAGAACTAGTTATGTAGGAAGCCTCAGCCTTCATGTAAGAATTTGAGATCAACCAAAGATCATGAAACAAACAAAGATTTAAGGCATAGTATTCTGCAATAATCTTAGTATTCATTAATGCAAGATTACAGAAAGCTTCTGAAACAAAGAAACAAATGAGTGTTGTTCACATCTAAGGTTAAATTTATTGAGTCAAGAGACCAAAAGCTCAAGATTCATTATAAAGTCCAAAAAGCTCTACTCTATACTGTGGGTGTTGCTCGGACTCTCCAAAATTGCTGCAGTATCCCTATCGGATCATCCAAAAATGCTCTACTTTTGAAGGATCCGATACACATATGACGGCATTTTTGAACAGTCAAAGCAACATGCACAATGGGATGCAGAACAGCATAGAAGAGCTCTTCAATTATTGAAGAATATAGAGAGGTCCTACACTTGTGAAAGGTGGTTAACTTCAAAATACACATGATGATTTATCCTTAAGATAGTAACATCCAAAAACATTATCAATATCAAGAATTTCCAAATATTGGAAAAAAGGAGTGTCAAGAGACGAGATCATTTCTGCTATCTCCATGAGTACAGCCACAATGATACGATGCACCACCATTTTAATGCTCACAGAAATACCAAATCAAGTAAGCCACAGGAATGAATTATATGGATAAAATTTCAATTTATTGAGGACATCAAGAGCAGGCATACCAACAAAACTACCATTTGCATGGTTATTTACAGAGGTAAAAGACAAATTCGCGCGATTATTTAAACAAGTTTTTTTTTTTCTCTTTTCATACGACTTGTAGCTGGAAACCTTGGACCTGTCGGATAAGGAAACTAATGGTAGAAGACTAAGCAGCAAACTGGAAAAGGTATCATGAAACTCAAGGAAAAGAGTACATTTCCTACCGATACGCCTAAAGAAACTCAGAAATATCAATGACATACGGGGAATTGGGGGGAGGGGTGTGCTTGGGAGGCCGAACATGATAAGAAGAACGCAAATCAGTTTAGCCTCCTCCTCCTAGGTGCACGTGAATCTCCACTATCCACATCTGAAATTCTGGAAGCATCGTTTCTTCTTCTGGAAGATGATGTAGAAAGGGACACCCTAGAATCTATTTCAGCAGCAGTATCCACTGTTTGACTCTCTGAGTGTATAACAGCAGCAATACTCGAAACAGAATCTCTATCTTCAACTGGTAGAGGCTGCTCCTGATTTCTCTCCACAGTGCTACTACGGAAGTATGGCTCAACCAGCCTTCCACCAGAACCAAAGGCAGAAGCAAGATTGGCATAATTAGCAGCTCGATGTGAATTTGATCTACGGAGTAAAAGAGAGGAAAGACGACGGGTTTCCCACACATCAGAGTTAGTTGGACTGGTCTGTGTCAAGTCAACAACGTCATCAGAAGGCAGAACAGGATTCTGTTCTCTGCGCCCCCTGGAAGTAAGAATACGGTTGAGCAGTGAGCTGCTTCGCTCAGGTAATTCATGAGAACCTTCAGAATTCTGCTGTTGTAGCTGAGACAAATCAAATCTACTGCCAAGACGGCGAATCATTTCTTCCATTGGAATGGTGAATGCTGTCCTTTGAATAGTCTGCCTCCAGCTCTCGACACGCCTTGCTTGAGGCCTGTGAGGGATTTTCAGAGTTGAATCCTCTTCAGGCTCTCGCACATTAGTTCCACGTCCATAAATTGGGATTACATTCTTCATAGTCACTTCCCCTTTACAAACAGGGCATTCCTTTGCATCTGAATGGAGATGTAACCACCGATAAAGACATGGCCAACAAAACAAGTGACCACAACAAGTCACAACAGGTTCTTTTGACAAGTCCAGACATATATTGCAATCAAAGAAGCTTCCCCCCTCCTCACTAGTAACCTTTTCACTGTCTTCTTTTTTCCCCAGAATCTCATCATGTGAATACCCGTTATTGTTATCGCATGTATTTTCCACCTCCGAGGGTCTCTCCTCAGCAACAACATCTGTTTGTGATTCACTCCTACCAATGAACTCCATCGCAATACTTCTAGCTTCTGCAGGAACAGGAATGTTTCTCAAAGCTGACCGCCATCTGCTCCTCCTTTGCCTAACAACTTCCCTAAATCGATAACCATCTAACAAATCCTCTAAATTCATATCCTCAATGGGAAATGTTGCTGGAACAGGCTCAGAATCATCAGTAGGACTTTCAACAGGTCCCAAATTCAGATCAAGATTCATCGTATTCGGTGTACTATCCCCCATGGCAATTCAACCAACAACAAAAATAAAGAACTACAACAAGCTCCAATTTCCAAGCTAAACCATGTAAAAGACTCGAGCTTTCCCACTATACCAAATGAAAAAAAAAAAAAAGATTCCCTTTTAAATCATTTCAAATGAAAACCCTCAAACTTCTACTACTATTCCACTCAGAAAAATCAAACCCCAAATTCAAGCAGCTAAAATTTGAGCAGAAACCCTAACATTTCTCATGTCAGAACAAAATCAATTAAAACCCCCAAAAATTAACGTAACCAACAACCAAAACCTAGAGCAACAATTCCAATAAAGGTGTAATCTTTTCTGGGTAAATCACATTAATAACAAAAACCCAACAATTAAACACAAGAAAATCGAAAAGGGTCACTAAGATTGTGAGCCTAGATGAGAATAAAGTTCTACAATCAGCTGAAAACCCACAATTTAGAACCTCTTTTTTCTAAAATTAAAATCAAATTAAATTTTAGGGTTTTTTGTTTAACAAAGTAAAACAAAGAGATAGAGAGAGAGAGAAAGAGACCTTGAGCAGCAAGATTGGATTTTGATGAAAGAAATCAGGTATAATTGCTATCAAATTAGCAAAAATTTCAGTTGATTTGCCATGTCTGAGTGAATTAGGGATCTGGTCCACTAGTATAGAGAAAGAGAGATTTTAGTGTCTAATTCGGGTTAATTCCGACCCGAGAAAGTAGAGAGAACAGCTCAGATACAGAGGAAGGTGAAGGAGTAGGGGGTGGGGTTATTGTCTAAGCATACGTAAGCAACTTTTTGGTAATTTTCTTACCTCCCAAAATTTGGTGTCCCCAAATTCATGCCATGTCATCATCCACGTAGGCAAGTGGGTCCCACTTTTCAGTTTTTTTTTTTTTTTTGAAACTTTCGCATATAGCCACACAAAAGATAGCTTAATTATGCTTCATAGCTATAATTTACTAATTACGATTAGTAGCTACATGTTATAGGGAGGAGAGCGGTGAGCGAAATTGGGAGAGGGAGGGTAGAGGTGAGCGAGAGAGGTGAATTGTAGAGGCAAGAGGGGGCTATAATTTGTATAATTTGAGGGTACGTTTGTATAATTCACACGTTTTTGTATAATTGAGCAATATAAAATCTGGAGTTATACAAATATGATAAATTTCAAAATAACGAATTGATACAAACATAAACATATGAACTTAAAACAATTATATAAATTATATTATACAAATTACATTATATAAATTATATTATACAAAATCCGTAAACTAAACGTTTATACAAACTTTAAAAAGTTATACACAAAAAGATAGAATGTATATGGTGATAAAACTGAGAAACCAAAGAAAATCATCGTCATATACAAACACAATCCATCGTATACAAATACAAATCAAACGACCAATTGTTACTTGCGAATTATACAAACGTGGTGAATTGTACAAACGTGACTAAAACTCGAAATCATCCCACGTAATTAATGGTTAATGTTAGTCGCGAGTGGTAATTATAACAAATTATATATATGATAGCTAATTAAGTAGTATAAGTTTGCTTAACCCGTAAATTTTCTTTTTTTCGATTTTCAATATGGTGTCTGGTGTTTGCGTAAGAGTTTGATCGGGTAGCATTCTCTATTAAAGTTTTTTTTTCTTATATGGGGTTTGAAGAAATTTTCATTTACGCATCATTGAATTTTCTATTTGCAAAAGATTAAGGAAATGGAATGGGACGTGTGAACAAGGTTTCACGATTAATAGTTGAAGAGAAACTGCATTTATATAAGGTATATGGATAGTATTATTGGTGTGAGATTTGTTAAGGAAAATAATATAGGTTTTGATTCGAAACAGATAGTAATATACCATGTTAAATGTATATTTCAAAAATGTTTTAGTCTAATAACAATTATCAGAGTGGATAATTTAGATAAGATGAATATGAAGATGATAGAGTATTGATGTGCGCTCGACTTACTATCATTATCAATCTACAAATCGACTTTTTAACTATCTTTTTCGGTATATATGTTAATTCCGTAACTATTTTTGTTGATTTACATGTGATGTTCTAATTATTTTTGTTGATCTACATGTCGATTTTGTTACTATCTTTATCTATCTACATGCTAATTTTATAATTATTTTTACTAAACACGAATACACAGGAAAAATTATGAGCTTTAATAATCATAGTTTTTCAGAATGATATGGGTGAGACATAGTGAATCTTCAAACTCATTCATCTTGAAATTGAAAATGTGTTACTTAAATTTTAGTTCGAGGAAAAGGTATTAAATATGCTAATAAATTTTCACATTGTTAATAGCTAAAAAGAAAAGACTTTTCGAAAAAATATATATGCAATGTTAGCTAAAAATGAATAATATCATACTATATTAAATGTATTTTAAAATTATTTTAACCAACAATAAAATCTCTCTTATTGGGCAAAAGTGTCTTAGGCCCACCATGACTTGGAAAACTAAGCTCCCAAGTCCCAATTATTGGGCTTCAGATCAGTGGTACATGGTCCAGTCGAAACAAATTACCGATTCAATCGAATTCAATATTTTTCTAATTCAGAATATACGAGATTTTGAAATTTATATAATTCTAAAATTATATTGAGTTTAGTGATACATAATTTTGTTTAAGAAATAATAATCAATAAGAAAAGAACTGTACGTCTGATTCCTCATGCATGAACGAATACATGAAGATGATAATTACTTTGGCTCAATCAAATCCAACGTTTTCGATACGATGTTTAAATATATATATGAAAAAATCACTGAAATTCCAATATACATAAGATTTCAAACACATTAAAAAGTACAATAAATACATAAAGTTCAAACACATCAAATAGAAATCACACACAGCCACAACCCTCAAATAATTATTAATAATGTTACATAAGATGATTAATCTAAAAAAATACTAAAACTTCTTTTAATTGACTCTCTTACAATCTAATCTAATTTCTCCATTAGTCCCTGTTAATGGACTAATATTCCCCATATTAATCATTGACTCCACAAAGCTCTGAAAAAAGACATTTTGGTCCCTGCTAAATGTCTTAATAATATTGGTGATTTCTGATGCACCATTTTTTGAAAATAATTTTTGATCTGACTCCAAAAGGCCTTTATTATTTTGCAAATTAGCAAAATAATTGTTATCAAATTTATTTGGAGTTGTTAGATCAAGATTAGCCAAAGCAGTGTTACTTCCTTTTTTTGGACATATTTTCATTAATTTGGCTAAATAATTAGTGTTTAATGTTGGATCAGGCTTTCCAGTACCATTAAAATTGTAAAGCCTCTCTCTAAATAAACGACATTGGGCACGTCCAAATGTGTGAGCACCTAATGCCAAAATAAAAATAAAAATTAGCGATGAACAACATAATATTTGGCAATGGATTCATGAAAAATGCTACTACAACTGATATATCTAACGATAAATTACATAGCTAATTCTTGACTCTTTTTTTTTTTTATATATATATAGTTATTGAGCCGATGATTTATATACACAACCTAACTTATTTACGATTGATCGAGATATAGCTAGTTGATATTGTGAAAATGTTAAGTATGATATACTGATTTGTGAGTGAAAAATATTTATATGGAAATACATACATTAAAGATTAATAATAATGACTATGTGTAATAAGTCGTTGGATCAAGTAATATGAAAAGTCGTCTACCCCCTTTTAATAGAAAATGTTTTCAATATCTATGATAATCAATTACTAAAAAATGATTTTCGTTATATCAAAATTCAAACTTGTCATATCATTGATTTAACTTATATACATTAAAAGCTACACATAATTCTTTATATTATATTTTAATAACCTATTTCATTTTTATATTATACTTTTATTTTTTGTATACGTTTACTTATAAATATCTTTTAGATGATCTGATATATACCTGATAACGCGACTAGATCAGTAATACTAAGGCCAACAGCAGAAAACTTTATAGTAATTTTATTTATGCTTTCAAACGGAGAAGGAATAGAAATATTAGCTCCTTGATTTGCTCTTCTACTATCTCTTCTCCCTAATAACACATTCCATGAAGGACCACCTGCCTGCACCCCATTAAAATAATCAACAACAAAAATAAATTAACAATATTGGTCAAAGTTTTATATTTATGTTCGAAAGTTCATTTAATATACATCGATACTTTATTCAAAATTCAACAATTAAATCGCCTTTCAAAAATTCATAAGATATTTAAATTCAAAATTCTAACTCTGTCTTTGTTCCTTAAACAAGTTTTTAAATATTTTATTAGTATTTTAAATACATATTAAAGTCTAGTATCACCAAAAGGTCAATAAAATATTTGTTGGTTCTTCTATTTTTTAAAGAATCTGACACAAATGTATTTTGTACTTTAAAATTATATTATATTCATAGAAGTGAATACTATTACATACCAAAGAAACAGATGATTCAGCAGCAAGAGCGAGAATATCAGCACAAGAGACAACACCGGGGCAACAATTCTCAACAGCAATCTTAATGTTATCAACAACATTAAAACCCCTTACGGAATTAGCATTTGGAGCTGCATCTTTTTCACTTACTATATTTGTTTTTGCATTATTATCCAACAATATTGATGCATCACATCCCTAATCATTCACCAAAAAAATAAAAATTAATATCCTTAATATAACGTTGTGAGTTTGAAATTTAAAATTTAAACGTCCGTTGTGAGTTTTTAATTGATCGAACATGCTCAAAGTTCTAATATGTATATATTATACTTTTTTTTTAACTTGCAAATTATGATTGGATTTGTTACTGTCAATAAGAAATTAGAAATAAAAAATTCGACAAGAAAATGTTGGCAACATTTACGTACATTAACAAAGCAATCATGAAAATGAAGTCGGAGGAGACTAGCACCAATACGTGCATCAGTTTGCAAAGCTTCTTGAATAACACATCGAACAATATCCGAAACATTTGGACAATTATTTTGATAAAAATTGGAATTCAACTGAGCATTTGATTTGGAAAAAAAGCTCAAAACTACAAGCAAAATGCATATTATTACTGAGAAATTAAAAGAATAATAATAATAAGAAGACATTTTAATTTGTTTGGCCAAGAAAGCTATTAAGCTATAGACTATCTTTTGCTTATAGCCTCAATATATATAGGGAAATGATTTACATACACTAGTTATTAAAAGATTTCGTACTCGTGGTCCTTGAATGTCACGCTCTGAACTGAACAATAGAACTCTGATAAAAAATGTCTAATTTAGGATGTGAGAGAAGGTGTTGATGGAAAGTGTTCCACATTGAAAAAGGATAAAAAAGGGCTCTTTAATTATAGGGCTTGAACAATTCTCCTCCCCAATGAGCTAGCTTTTGGGGTGTGCGTTAGGTCCAAGACTTAATTTGCTTCTCACGTATCATGATCAAAACCTCTTCATTCTTGAAAAGAATAAATTGTAACTCGAATTTGATGCCCCTAAACAATAGCAATACCAAGAATCCTAAGCTAGAGCCAAATAAATAATTTCATGAACCATCATGACATAAATCATGTACAAACCATCCTTTAATTATTAAGCATCTCGATCATAACAATTCATTCATTATTTATTATTAGTACACTTTATTCGTCCTAAAAATGTTTAACTTTTAAATTTCCCTTTATCCTTATCCTTATGAAATATTATATAATCATACAAATTCATTCATTATAATGTTGATAACAGTGAATCATATCATCCTAAGGGTCGTTATTGTCCGAAAGATTATAATTTTTGAACTAATTTAATCTTGAAATATCTCACTTTATCTCGCGTACCAATTGAATTTTGGTGTTTAGAGGAAAATAGTGCCTTTGTTAACAACTTCAGAAGTAATCAAAAAAGGGAACTGATGATCTTGGGATATTTTGCTTTTCTATATATGAGTACAGTATTTCTCGTGATATTAGAAGTAAATACTATTCCTACAATATTTGTTGTTTGTTAATTAAATAGTGGCAAGAAAACAAATGTACTAGTAATATTTAGCAATATGATAATTATTCTAACATTAGTAAAATCTTAACAACTTCTTCAAATTTTAATTATTTTTTTTCGCATAAAGTATTGAAGAAGATTCTCCATAATTAAAGGAAATCAAAGTGTGGATCTTTTTGGTTCCTTTTCAGACACTAAATTGTATTTAGTGATTCTAACACGGAAAATATTACTATTATTATTTCTTCTATTTTAATTTATTTGTCTGATTTTGATTTGACATAAAGTTTGAGAAAGTAATGAAGATATTTGAATCTCGTGCTCTTAAACTAACGATATATAGAAATGTATCAGAATGTCTTTTAATCTTGTGATTTTAAAAATGTCATGTGAAAAATTAGAATTAAAGATTTTTCTGTTTGAAACAAAGAAAATGGAGTACTTCTTTTGGTGGGTTCCATTTGGTGTCTGATATTCGGATTGGGGCTAGATTATATTTGGACTCGTGCAGAGTCTCACATTGGAGGGTTAATCAAGCACGACTCACTCTATTCTCGAGAAAAGAACTATAAAATCCTAAACCTGTAAATTGAACTTTAAATTCTTGCTCCGACTGTGATTCATAGGGTTCGAATCTAAAACATCTTGATCGATTATTACTATTACATAGTTGGATTGTAATTTGTACTTAACTAAAATTAAGATTAAGTTAGAATTACGGATTTGAGGTTCACGCTTTTAATTACCCTATTTGACTAATTGTTTGATTATCCAAAGATAACGAATTTATGAGCTTTGTATTTACTCTTCTAACAATGAATAAACAGTACGAATTTCATTTTAAAAAAAGGGTTAATTACTTTTAGAAGTTAATATCAAAGTTAAAAAAAATTCATGGTAATTAGTAGCTGTAACTTTGTATACAAACATTTTAAATTTCTTCTTGCTAAATAATCCAATATATAAAGTTGAGGCCTATGTAGAATTTTTATCCTATAATTAGCGTGCTAATTACTACACCATTCATCATAATTTATGTGACATAATCTGAATTGACACGATTTTAAAAAATGATTTTTGAAACTTAACAAGACAACACAAGCTAAGGTTGAAAGTTGAAAATAGTTAATTCAAATAATTACCCAATCAAAACCTTAACTTTTAAAAAGAACCTTGCTAGAAAAGGAGTTTCATTACAGTTTACGCGCTAATTAAAAGAAGATGAATTAATGACATAAGTGATTTAACTTCATCGGGACCGATCATAACATACTCTTCACATTATAAATTCACTTTAAAGTTAACTTAGTCACTCGATTAATTATTAAAATGTATATGAAATCCTATAAGGATATTCCATATCTCAATAACACCTTTGTCTAAAAATTCGAAGTAGCCTTCATATTCAAAATCCAAATTTACTAAAAATAACAAATTTTTACTTAATTATGAAACTTAACAACATTTTGATTTCAAAACATAGTTGAATATTCTGTATTCACGTGCATAATAATAGTGAAATACATTATATACACGTGCATATAATATTTTTGTTATAACGAAATACATTGTATTTGTACATATAATAATAACGAAAGTATTATATCTGTGCGTATATAATATCTTTGCTTAATTGCATCCTCTATAAAATCTAAACTATTCCTTTTATATATATATATATATATATATATATATATATGACAAATACCTATTATATTCAATTGGGTTTCTTTGTTTTTTCCTCTCTAAACACATGAATTTTGCCTCAATCCATAATTAGGGCTTGAAATAATATAAATTAATAAAGTGCGGTTCGCAATTAGATGCATAATACAACACGGTCTTTTATTTTTCTTTCCTTAAATATCTAACTTTTGTTCTTATATATCAAACTTTTATTTGTGACAAAATTCTAACAATTTGCTATGTACGTATGCGACTTGAAATTGTAAGCTTCTAACTTCTTTTTTTAGTTTCATTGCGAAGTCAGGATTCTGAATAAAATATTGGTACATATTAAATTTAGTCGAACTCGTATTTGTTGATGTTTTGATACCAGTAGATTCTTATTTTTGCAATTTGAATGTTTCAACTTTGTCATAATAAAAGACTAAAACTCTTATGTAAAGTATGAGAATTTGCTAGAAGGAATCAAAGACCTAATTATCAAAATAATTATTAGCAATATGTGATCACTGTTGTGTGTAGTGTGTTTAGGGGCGTAGCTAGGTAGGGTTTGACAGAAAATTACACGGTTTATGCATGATTAAATTTATTACATGTTGAACCCTTTTGGATTCTTCGTGTGTTTACTTTTATATTTTGAACCTGATCTTAGTGAAAAATTCTGGTGTGTGTTGTATATCTAGAGGGTAGAATCCATGTATCTATACACGCTACGTGTGGTTTCATAGAAACTCAATAACTTTTGCTCAAAACTTGTATGTATATCAAAATATCCATTATATATCTAGAAATATTTGAACGAGAATTTAGTTATTATTATTGTATATTAACTTGAGATCACTGTTGGAATCCATAAACTTCAAATCATTGATTCGCCTCTGATGCTTGTGTGTACCTGCTTTCTTGATACAAGTTGCTAGTGATAGTCAATGGTGATACTTGTAGATTTGCTTGTGATTGTTCTTGAGTTTGCCCCTTATACACATTGTGCTCTTCTATATCTTGTTGTGGCAGGGTAAAAAGACATCAATCTTACATTTTTTCGACTTTGATCCTAGCTCTTTGTTGCCACAATCTTATTGTTTCGAGTTTTGTTCTGCAGGACAGTTGATTGGCAATGAGTATGGATTGCGATTCTACTATGTCCAGTCAGAGTAACAACTTGAACAACGGAATTGACAAGAAGTACCTTGCTTCTCCTATTAAGAATTCTGTGGACAAGTATCAACTTATTCCAGAATTCCTAAAGGTGAGAGGATTGGTGAAGCAACACTTAGCCTCGTTCAATTACTTGGTTAAGACGGATATAAAGAAGATTGTACGTGCAAATCATGAGATTAGATCAAGTACACGCGATCCTAATATCTATCTTAGGTACAGAGATGTCCGTATTGGTGAACCATCGATGACTTATGATGGTGTAAGGGAGAAACTAAGTCCACAGAAATGTCGACTAGCTGACCTTACCTATGCAGCTCCAATTTTTGTCACAGTTGATTACACAATGACAAGGAACGGGCAGATATCAATGTTAACGCAGAAGGATGTTGTTATTGCACGAATGCCTATTATGCTAAGAAGTTGTTTGTGTGTGCTATATGAGAAAGATGAAGAACAACTAGCAAAACTTGGGGAGTGTCCACTTGATCCGGGAGGATATTTTATTGTCAATGGCAGAGAGAAGGTAATTTTAATTCAAGAGCAGCTCTCGAAGAACAGGATAATCATCGATACAGATAGAAAAGGTTGTGTACAAGCATCTGTTATCTGCAGTACAGAAAAAACAAAGAGCAAAACAATTATAAAAATGGAGAAAGAAAAGGTATACTTAGAGTTGAATATGTTCAAAACCAAGGTCCCCATAATGGTTGTCATGAAGGCCATGGGAATGGAAAGCGATCAAGAGGTTGTGCAAATGATAGGAAGAGATCCTCGGTATAGTGCTTTGCTTTTGCCATCAATCGAGGAGTGTGCAGATCTCAAGTTGTTTACACAACATCAAGCACTGGAGTTCCTCGAGAGTGACAAGATGCTTACAATGCCTTCATATTATACTGCTCCAGTTGAGAAGGGAGCCCGAGCTTTGAGTATTCTTCGTGACATGTTTCTTGCACATGTTCCAGTCAATCAACATAATTTCCGCAAAAAATGCATATATGTTGCAGTAATGATGAGGCGCATGATGGAAGCAATCTTAAACAAGGATGCAATGGATGACAAGGACTATGTGGGGAACAAAAGATTGGAGCTCTCCGGTCAGCTACTATCTCTCCTTTTTGAAGATTTGTTCAAGACGATGAATGATGAAGTTAGGAGGGAATTTGATGCTAGCTCCAAATCTTCCGACCTGTTATATCATGTAAAGAAAAGCAACAGAATTACTGTTGAATTGCAGAGAACTCTATCTACGGGAAACTGGGATATTAAACGATTTAGGATGCACAGGAAAGGCATGACTGAGGTTCTTGCTAGGCTATCATACATCGGAACATTGGGCTACATGACGAAGATCAAACCACAATTCGAGAAGTCTAGAAAAGTTAGTGGTCCTAGAGCACTGCAACCTAGCCAGTTTGGCATGATCTGCCCTTGCGATACTCCAGAAGGTGAAGCTTGTGGATTGGTGAAAAATCTGGCCTTGATGACTCATGTTACGACAGATGAGGATGCGCGCCCTATTATGTCTTTGGTACAGTCTCTATAATTTATGTTTCTCCTGCCTCCTATTCAAGTGTGTAATAATCCAAACAATTTTCACCACATATATACTGCTGCTGAATTGAATATAATAGCTAGGGTAATGTTTTCAGTTGCTTATGTTACAATTTATGTGCCAATGGGGCTTCTTAATTGAAGTTTTTGCTTAAAAATGAAGTGTTTTTACTGTTAGTCCGTAGAGAGTTCGTAAGAGTCAAGTCGTCAAGGTGATCTTAAAGAAAGTGATACTGTTATCATCTCCTTAGGTCTTAATGGGACCGATTTACACGGTACATAGATGGTGAGAGGTTGCAAGTACTTGGTGGAACAGTGTTCCCAGAAAGGTCCTGATATTAAACATAAATAACTTCCTATTTTGTTGTATTTGTGTTAATAACCATAACAAAATCCAACTTCTCAGTTTGTGCTAGTATAAGTAAGTAAAGTTCCTACTTCATTTCTGTAACATGTAACTGAACTTTTACGTGATGGAACAGTGCTACGACTTGGGTGTTGAGGACTTGGAACAACTTTCAGCAGCAGAACTTCACACGCCAAATTCTTATCTCATCATATTAAATGGACTTATCCTAGGGAAGCACAAGAGTCCCCAGCGTTTTGCTAATGGAATGAGGAAGCTACGGAGGGCTGGTCGAATCAGGGAGTTTGTAAGCATCTTTGTGAATGATAAGCAGTGCTGTGTCTACATTGCTTCAGATGGTGGACGTGTCTGTCGTCCACTTGTAATTGCTGAAAAAGGTGTTTCTAGGATCAAGGAGCACCATATGAATGAGTTGAGGAATGGTGTGCGTGACTTCAACAGCTTTCTAAGAGATGGTTTGATAGAATATCTTGATGTCAACGAGGAGAACAACTCATTGATTGCTCTATACGAAAAGGAGGCAACACCAGATACAACACATATTGAGATTGAGCCTTTCACAATCTTAGGTGTTTGTGCTGGTTTGATACCTTATCCTCATCACAATCAGTCCCCTAGGAATACCTATCAGTGTGCGATGGGTAAACAAGCTATGGGAAACATTGCCTACAACCAATTGAATCGGATGGATGGTTTGCTCTACCTTTTGGTGTATCCTCAACGCCCTTTACTGACTACAAGAACAATTGAGTTGGTTGGATATGATAAACTAGGCGCTGGGCAGAACGCTACTGTTGCTGTGATGAGTTATAGTGGCTATGACATTGAGGATGCAATAGTAATGAACAAGTCTTCTTTAGATCGAGGTTTTGGGCGTTGCATAGTGATGAAAAAATATGCAGCCATATGTCAGAAGTATAAGAATCTCACATCAGATAGGCTAATTAAACCACAACGTCAAGGTTCTGAAGCAGAGAAGATGCAAATTCTGGATGATGATGGATTAGCTTCCCCAGGAGAAATTATTCGAAATCGTGATATCTATATCAACAAGGAGTCCCCTACAGTCACGATAACACAAGTCACATCTCCTATGGGCTTGCCGGATAGTGCATATAAGTCAAGTAGACAAACTTATAAAGGTACTGAAGGGGAGCCAACTGTCATTGACAGAGTGGCTCTTCACTCTGATGAAAACAACAATTTAAGTATCAAATTTATGATCCGTCAGACCCGTAGGCCTGAGATTGGTGACAAGTTTAGTAGCAGACATGGGCAGAAAGGAGTCTGTGGCATCATTGTACAACAGGAAGATCTTCCGTTTTCTGAACGTGGCATTTGCCCTGATCTTATTATGAATCCTCACGGATTTCCAAGCCGAATGACAGTAGGAAAGATGATCGAGCTTCTTGGAAGTAAAGCTGGAGTTTCTTGTGGTAGGTTTCATTATGGCAATGCTTTCGGAGAACCCAGTGGTCATGCAGATACGGTTGATGCTATCAGTGAAACTCTGGTAAAGCATGGATTTAGCTACAATGGCAAGGATTTCATTTATTCAGGCATTACTGGTATGCCACTACAAGCATACATCTTCATGGGGCCAATATATTACCAAAAGCTGAAACACATGGTCCTAGACAAAATGCATGCTCGTGGGAGTGGACCTCGTGTTATGATGACAAGACAACCTACCGAAGGGAGGAGTAGAAATGGAGGTTTACGTGTGGGAGAAATGGAACGTGACTGTTTGATTGCATATGGTGCAAGTATGTTGATACACGAGCGCCTGATGCTTTCTAGTGATCCATTCGAGGCTCAGGTTTGCAGAAAATGTGGTTTATTGGGATATTACAACTACAAGCTGAAGATTGGCATTTGTTCCATGTGTAAGAATGGGGAAAACATGTCTACAATGAAGTTGCCTTATGCGTGCAAGCTCCTATTCCAGGAGCTCCAATCAATGAACATTGTTCCACGATTAAAACTAACTGAAGCTTGATTATACTGTCACATCTATTAGCTTCTCGCTAATTTTTTGTCGTTCCTTAACAATTGACTTTACTTTTCTAATTGCCTATGTTTCTTCTTGGTACTTTTATTTATAACATCACATTTTGTTTTTTTCATAAGATGATTACCATGCTTCTATTGAATGTAGCATAAGATACAATGATGTCTCTGTATCTGATGCAAAATATATGGAGCAGGCGCACTTCTTTGCAGTAGTTTGATATTGTATTGCCTGATCAGTACTCGATCTGGTTCATATTAGAGAGCTCGTATGACAATAATGACGATGGATTGATAACTTCCTGTCTTCCTTGCATTTTCAACGTTTGAAATATGCTCACGTATAATAACAACAACATACCCAATGTAATCCCACAAGTATGGTCTGACAAGGATATGATGTACGCTTGTACGCTGACCTTACTCCTTTTTAGGAGGTAGAGTGACTGTTTGCGATAGATATCACCTGAAGGAAAAATATGCTCTTGTCATAGATTGGCTTGTAGCTGATGTTGCAACTACAGTATGTTGGGAGCATTCAGAAAATATATATGACCAAAAAATGGTTGTTTTCTGTGGTTAAGGAAGTCTGCTTCTTAAAAAAACCACAAGCAAGAATTTATTTTTTTCAAGACTAAAATATCCTTACCTACATACACATTTACCAATATATCACTTATTAATTAATTATCATATCTCATAAGTTTGGTTAAGTTTCATTCAAAAGTTTTCTATTTTATTTTTTATTTTTATATAATAAATTATTATATTTTATTTTACGTTTATGTATTATTATTTTATTTATTATATCACGTATTATTCTGCACAACTAGAAAAAATATAACAACAATATTTTTGCAATATTAGAAAAAGAAATAATAATAATTAAAGATTTTAGCCCTCCAAAAAAGTATAATATTGATTTAAAATTTGAATATATACATTATAATTTAATAAAAACAATTTTTTTTTTTTTGCAGTAGCTATTAAAAATAATTTCTATCCATAAAATAATCTTAATACATCATTGATCATACTTGTCTTTTTTCATAATTCATAATTTGACTCAAACAGGCTCTAAATATAGTTAGAAACAAACACTCCTTTTAAGTCAAAGTGTTCTGCGGTGTTCAAAGTGTTTTTTCTTTCTATATGAAAAGAAAAATATTTATCCAGAATCTCATAAAATAGGCAATATTCCTTAAATAGTAAAAAAACAACTTTGACCGTAAATTGTATTCCAATAAAATATTTTCCTATATATTTTTTACTATAAATCCTATTTAATACAAACTGAATTCTAAACAAATTTGGTTTCCTCTATTCTTTCTTTATAGCTATTGCTAATCCTAGCTAGACAGAATTAGTCACAATTTTGTTGATTAGCTACACAAAATTTGTTTGTCACTAATTTCTGATTAGTGATCATAAAGATGAGGATAGCAGTAGAAGGGTGTATGCATGGAGAATTGGATAAAGTGTATGCCACATTATTGGAATTGCAACAAATTGAGAATATAAAGATTGATCTTCTTATATGCTGTGGTGACTTTCAGGCTGTTAGAAATAACAAGGATTTGGAATGTGTAAGTGTGCCATCTAAATATCGAATTATGAACTCTTTCTGGAAGTATTACTCCGGAGAAAAAATAGCACCATTGCCAACCATATTCATAGGAGGAAACCACGAGGCCTCGAATTACCTTTGGGAACTTTACTATGGAGGATGGGCAGCACCTAACATATACTTCCTTGGATTTGGTGGTGTGATCAAGTTTGGGAACGTTCGTATTGGTGGCCTTTCTGGAATTTATAACTCACATGATTACGAAAAAGGGCATTATGAGAATAAGTTACCTTATAGTGAAAATGATGTTCGATCCATATATCATGTTCGCGAGTATGATGTTCATAAGTTATTGCAAATTGACGAACCAATTGATATCTTTCTGTCGCATGATTGGCCTGCTGGCATTACTGACTGTGGGGACTTGAATACTCTTCTTTGTCAAAAAAAAGATTCGCGTAAACTTGAGCTAGAGATTCATGATGGAACTTTTGGTAGCAAACCTGCTGCAGAGTTATTGAGAAAGTTAAGACCTTGTTACTGGTTTTCTGCACATATGCATTGTAAATTTGCTGCTTTAGTTCAGCATGGTGATGAGAAGGATAGTCGTTGCACGAAGTTTCTAGCTCTCGATAAGTGCCTTCCTGGTAGAAAGTTTTTGCAAGTTATTGAAATTGAGTCTAGAACAGGACCTCATGAATTTCAGTTTGATGAAGAATGGTTATCTATCACAAGAAAGTATAATGCTGTCTTGCCCTTGACAATGAGTAACGCGAATTATGACAATATTATTCATGTTGACATAGAAAAGTGTCGTCAGTTTGTAAGAAATAAACTACGAACAAGAGGATCCAAGGTGCCATTTGAATTTGTTCAGACTGCACCATGCTACAATCCTAATTCTCAACCTGTTGCTAATGGTCAAGTTAACCCTCAGACAGAAGCTCTTTTACAGTTTCTGGAACTCGAGTATCGTTTTACTTAGTACACGCGAACCTTTTTTAGTTTGAATAAAGTATGTAACAAGTTTTGCATGGTTATTTGGTTGTTGATTAGAGTTCCAGGCATTAGTAGCGTAGAAATTAGTTATGCAAGGTTTAGTTATTCATGTATTAGTTATGCGAGATCATGCTAGACCACATATTGAAAATCAGTAAATCGCGATAAGAATATCATAATCCTCTTGGTATCTCACTGGTGTGCGTGTACTATGCACCATGGGAAATTAATCTTTCCATACACTCAACTAAGAGCTACTGAGATGCTCACTGTTCTTGAAGGTTCACTTCAAGTCCTAAAGGCCGATGAGTTTGATTATCCCTATTGAACTCGTTCACTACCAACATAACGTGGAATATGGGATGTTGTTGTTACTGTTGGTGATACTGTAGGTACTACTCCGATTTTCTATGAATGGTTTCATTAAGGTTTTGCAAGAAAATCAATCAAAAGTCATATCACCAAAATATTTATAGGCTAACTAACACACACGAAAAACTGAAAAAAATGGTCTAATTCTTGTAAATTGGCCCGTAAATGTCGAAAATGGACTCTAAAAATTGTGAGACTGTACTTATTGTTCCCCTAACTACCTGCGGAGGGTTTTGTAAAGATTTCACAAAGAAATCATCTGGTAGCTATTTCATAAAATATTCATAGGCTAACTCACACGAAAAACTGAGAAAATCGTCTAAATCCTATATATTGACCCATAAATGTCCAAAATGAACTCTAAAGATTGTGAGATGGTACGTACTTCTCTCTCAACTCTCTAAGGAGGGTTCTGTAAAGATTTCGCATATAAATCGTCCGAAAGCCATATCAACAAAATATTCATAGGCTAACACACGAAAAATTGAGAAAATCACATAATTCTTGTAAATTGACCCGTAAATGTCAAAAATGGACTCTAAAAATTGTGAGATTGTACGTACTACTCCCCCAACTACCTATGAAGGGTTCCGTAAAGGTATCACAAAGAAATTGTCTGTAAGCTTTTTCACCAAAATATTCATGGATCAACACACACGAAAAACTAAAAAAATTGCACAATTCCTGTAAATTGGACCCTAAATGTCCAAAATGGACTCTAAAAGTTATGAGATTGTATGTACTGGTCCCCCAACTCCACTCGAAGGATTCCGTAAAGGTTTTGCAAACAAATCTTTCAGAAGTCATATCACCAAAATATTCATAGGCTAACTAACACACACGAAAAATTGAGAAAAATCGCCTAATTCCTGTAAATTGTCTTTAAATGCCCAAAATGAATTCTAAAAATTGTGAGGCTGTACGTACTACTCCCCCATTTTTCTACGGAGGGTTCCGTAAATTTTTCACAAAGAAACTGTACCGAAACCATATCATCAAAATATTCATGGGTGTTACACACAAGAAACTGAGAAAATTGTCCAATTCTTGTAAATTTGACCCCTAAATGCCCAAAATGAACTCTAAAAGTTGTGAACCTGTATGTACTGCTCCCAACTCCTTACAAAGGGTTTCATAAAGGTTTTGCAAAGAAATTACCCGAAAGCCACATTACCAAAATATTCATGAGCTAACACACACAAAGAGTTGAGAAAATCGCATAATTATTGCAAATTGTCCCCTAAATGACCAAAATGGACTCTAAAAAAATTGTAAGATTGTGCGTACTACTCCCCCAACTCCCTACAGAGAGGTCTGTAAAAGTTTCGTAAAGAAATCTTCTAAAAGCCATATCACCAAAATATTCAAGAGCTAACACACATGAAAAATTTGAGAAAATTGTCTAATTCCTGTAAGTTGATCCATAATTGCCCAAAGTGAATTTTAAGAATTGTGAGATTGTACGTACTACTCCCCCAACTCTCTATGGAGGGTTCCCTAATGTTTTTGCAAAGAACTCATTCGGAAGCCATATCACCAATATTCATGAAATAACACGCACAAAAAACTGAGAAAATCGCTCAATTCATGTAAATCGGCCTCTAAATATCCAAAATGGACTCTAAAATTGTGAGTTTGTATGTACTGCTCCCCCAACTCCCTATGGAGGGTTCTATAAAGATTTTGCAAAGAAATCATCCGGAAGTTATGTCACCAAAATATTCATGGGCTAACTGACGAAAATCGCCTAGTTCGTGTAAATTAATCCCTATATGGACTCTAAAAATTGTGACATTGTACGTGCTCCCCCCCGCCCCCACTCCCTACGGAAAGTTTCAGAAATGTTTTTGCAAAGAAATCATCCGAAAGTCATATTATCAAAATATTAATTAGCTAATTATTACACAAAAAAAATATGAAAAAATCACCTAATTTCTGTAAATTGACCCTAAATGTCCAAAAGAACTCTAAAAATTGTGAGATTGTACAACCTGCTCCCCCAATTCACTACAAAGGGTTCTGTAAAAGTTTCGCAAATTAAACGTCTGAAAGTCATAGAATCAAAATATTAATGAGCTAACACACATGAAAAATTGAGAAAAAACGTTTAATTTCTGTAAATTGCCCCCTAAATTTTCTCAAAATGGACTCTAAAATTGTGAGACTATACGTACTGCTCCCCCAACTCCCTACGGAGGGTTCTATAAAGGTTTCACAAAGAAATCTTCTGCAAATTATATCGTTAAAATATTCATGGACTAACACACATGAAAAACTGAGAAAATGACCTAATTCCTGTAAATTGAGCCCTAAATGTCCGGGATGAACTCTAAAGATTAATAATGAACTTTTTCTTATTATCAATCATTTTAATCTTATTGCCATATTTTGTGAGTAATAGTATAATAATAAAAAAGAAATACTAAATTAGCACAAATATACTTTTATAAATATAATATGATACTTTATTGTTGTTAAAATACTTAGTAGGTCTCTAGCTAAGTAGCTATAGATTACAAATATTTTTCATTTTATTTTAAATTTATAGAATAAGAGTTAAAAATAAAATTGAGTTTGATATATTTTGAAAAAAAATATTTGAAATAATCTTCATGCTTGATTTTAAAAGTGAAAATTGACTTAAAAATAGATTATAAATACAACTTCAAAGAATTCAGATTTTTCATGAATCGATATGTCAAATAAAGTAAAATAATTTTTACACAACTTTTCCATTAATTATTTACAATTTGTTTTTGGGTAAAAAAAACTTTCATTTTCTTTTTGCCCTTTTCCCTAAAACCCTCACTCTTTTGCCTGCACTTTGGCTGGGTTCCATTAAAACCCTTGGAGCAGAGCTCTGAAGTAGAAACTGCAAACGAGCAATCGGCCTGAAAATTTGGGCTTCAAATCGTAAGACTTCTTCCGCTTTAGTTTCAGTTGTTAAGTTTTTGATTTCAGCAAAAAAAGTTGTTTAGATTTGCTGATGTTTTGAAACGATTGGATTTTTCATCTTCGTTTGAATGCTTCACTGTAAAATATGAGAATCAAATAGAAGGGGAGTCTTGACGTAACTGATAAAGTATATGACCCGGAGGTTATGGGTTAAGTGGTGGAAACCGCCTCTTGTAGAAATGCAGGTTAAGACTCTGTACAATACACTCTTGTAGTCCGGCCTTTCGTGGACCCACATATAGTGGGAGGTTTAGATCACCGGGCTCTAGAAGGAACCAAATAATTAGCATTCACTTAAAGATAGAATTTGGGTGGTATGCTAGTTTTGCAATGCTTTAGGGCTTTGATTCCCGATATTCAATTTTTTGCAATGGTTCAGTTGTGTTGGAGATGAGAAGAAAGAATGATTTGGTTTTGGAAGAAAACAATTGAAATGATGAACTATGAAGAGAAGTGCATGCTAGGCATTTTTGCTTTTAGTTTTCTTTTGTGTACTTGTGTTGATTTCTAGATTGTAGAATGCGGAAAGATGGAAACAAATACTATGATTTGCTAAATACTTAAAAAGTTTCTATGCTTCTCTAAATGATACTGTGTGGGAATGGCCAGCTACGAAGCTTTATTCTTGAAATGTGGTTGGAATAAAGCAGAAATTTGTAAGGGAACTGCCACTCGTACTTGTGTATGTATACCTCCATCTTTCTCATTCCATAAACATGTCACTTTCTGGATACAAGCTGCTATTGATGGTTAATAGTTCTACTTGTATATTTGTGTAAAATTGCTCTTAAATTAGTCCCCCCACTAATTGTGCTTTATACCTTGTTATGGCAGGGGAAAAGAAATCATCTTGCATTGTTTTGACTCCCATCCTTGCTCCTGCTACAATCTCATTGTTTCTGTCTTTGTTCAGCTGGAAATTGATTGGCAGGAGGTATGGGTTATGATTCTACGATGTCCAATACGACAGAGGACTCAAACCAGGGAATTGACAAGCAGCACCTTGCTTCTCCCATTAAGAATTTGGTGGACAAGTATCAACTTGTTCCAGAATTCCTAAAGGTGAGAGGTTTGGTGAAGCAACACTTGGACTCCTTCAATTATTTTGTTAGGACAGAAATAAAGAAGATTGTCCGAGCGAATCAGGAGATTAGATCAACATTGGACCCCAATATTTATCTTAGGTACAGGGATGTCCACATTGGTGAACCATCAATGGTTTTTGATGCTGTAACTGAGAAATTATGTCCACAGAAATGCCGACTATCTGACCGTACCTATGCGGCACCAATTTATGTCACCATTGACTACACCACAGGAAGTCATGGGCAAACATCAGTGTCAACAAAGAAGAATGTTATCATTGGAAGGATGCCAATTATGCTTAGAAGCAGTTGTTGTGTGCTATATGGGAAAGATGAAGATGAACTAGCAAGACTTGGAGAATGCCCACTTGATCCTGGAGGATATTTTGTAATCAAAGGCACTGAGAAGGTAATTTTAATTCAAGAGCAGCTCTCGAAGAACAGGATAATCATTGATACAGATAAAAAAGGTTCTGTACAAGCATCTGTTACCAGCAGCACAGAAAAAACAAAGAGCAAAACAATTATAAAAATGGAGAAAGAAAAGGTATACTTAGAGTTGAATATGTTCAAA